TAAGGATAGAACTTTTTCTTTCTTTATTATTTAATCTCAACAAAAAGCTGAAGATTGCTTGCTTTGGACGATTGAAACATCTTTATTAACTTCTGTTATTTATCTATTTACATCTTTTCGTTTTATTCAACTTACCAAAAGAATCTTTCATCAACAAAAATTTTTGAATTCGAGAATTTCTTTGATCAGAAACAAACATGTTTCCAGAACGATCGAAACTAAAACTAACTGGATTAGCCAATTGATTGGATTGTGATTCTTGTCCATAACATCCAACTAAACATCGAAAACCATGCAAGTCTGAACCAACAATGCGACTATTGAGGAAATCCACAATAAATAAATATTTATCAGCATCTAATGTAATTCCACTTGGACAACGAAGTGTAATGGTTGGATTTAGCGATGTACTTCCAGCTACTGTGATGCCATGTAATTCTCCCGACTGGAACAACTGAACGCGGTCATTGTAACAATCTGCTACATATAAATCCAAGTTCACATCAACAAAGATTCCAAAAGGACTATCGAGTTGATTGGAAGCTAATCCTCGAATACCTATTCCAGCAGCAGTAACAACATTTGAATTCATCATCGGATCATTTAATGATGTTTTCAATACCTGATGCTGATAATACATTGAACAGTAAAGAGTATCATGGATATCGACAAACAAACCAGCACATGATGAGTTAACATTCATCACCGTGACAAAGGTACTTGTTGCTGCATTCCATCTTTGCACTCGGCCATTCTCATGCCCATCATCAATATAAATATCACCATTTGATGTCACAAAGAGAGACAAAGGTTGCTTAAAATCACTACTAATGATCTTTATTGGATTGACACTCTCTTCTTGCCACATTACAATTGTGTTTTTTTCTGGATTAGTGACATATATTGTGTTGTTCGTGCTCACAAAAATGGTGGAAGGATATTGACCGACAATCGATTGATTAGCAAAAGTAATTCCATTGGAATTCCAATTGGCTGTTGGGCGAAACTTCGGTTGATTAAATGAAGATGCTTAAAGAAAAAATTAAATTTTAAAAAATATCCTATGATTTTCGAAAATATTTAATATTTAAAAGACTCAAGATCGGTGTGTTTTCTCGTAACACACATTCTCAAGGTGGGTTATTCGCAATGAATAGTATTCAACAATCTGCACAGATATGACAATTCATCAATCAACTAAGTCTAATGTTGTTTTTTTCTACAAATATCGGATTGGTTTGGGCGCAGAATTTGAAATAAGAATGATTACCTGATATTTGATTGATCATAACCAACAAAATCAGCTCGAGAACATAAACATTAGTTTTTATTATCATATTGAAAAAACAATTTTTGTTTTATGCTCACAAATAATAACGAATAGTGAGACTTTTATAAGTCGCTGGAAAGTCAATACTGTTGTTTGATAAAAACAAGTGAAATTAAACCTTCATTTTTAATCTTCTCCTTCTCATAATCAACAAATATTATATAGAAGAAAAGCATAAAAACCAATATTTTGTCATATCACTTTACACTAGTTATTAATGAATAAAGAGAACTATTATTTCATATATCTTACAATTTCAAAAAGAATAAAACCTATTAAAATTCTATGAAATATGGATTATCTGAAGTTTATAATATATCGTTTTCAATTCAAACGAAGTATAATGATTTAATTTGAATGGCAATCAGTATATGCATGATATTGAAATTAATCATTAGAAACATAACAAACGGAATTTTAACGCCACAATGTCTACAGACGATTCTTTAATAACAAAAAAAAATAAAGAATCTTGCTAGAATCATCTTGACTTTCAGAGTGTGTATGTAACTAGGGATGAACATGAATGTTGTACCCATCCATTATTCATCTATTTACAACTATATTCACCCGCACCTTCAAGAGAAGTTCGCTTTATCTCACTTCAAATATTTACAGAGAAGGACAGAAGTAAAGGATAAGCAGAAGATTAATTGACTAAAATAAATATAAAAAGAAAAGTAATATCTACTAATCAATATGTCAATAATAAAAGGTGTATTTTTACAGAATATCGTTTCATTTTGAATATACAATCGTAAAATATATAATAACATCACAGAATACGGTCCCTTGTTATTATTAATAAATTGTATATAGACATTTTTTTCGTGAGACATGCTTTATTTTTTCTTGAAATACGATTCACATCTGCCGAGGCGTATGATTAATTTATTTATTACTTGTCAAGCACCTTCTCTTTTGTATAGTTTGTCAATAATAGCTCATATTACGTTTTTTCTTGACTTTTAATATATTCTTTATTTGACATAAACAGACAATCTCATTACAGAAGCGTCTACTAAGAAATTTATGTTTGTTATCAGCGATAAAGAAATCAAGTCAAAACTGATATGCACTTCAAATACAAGAATTAAACTATACCACTTGAGAGTGGGTAGTAGTGGATGTTCGCTCTTTGACTTCTCACACCCACACCCTCAAGATTTGTTTTAATATGGAAAGAAAATAGATTTAGTTATTTTTTTTATAATCATGTTCATTCTATTCCCCAAGTAAACAGAAAAATAAAATATCATAGATTTATGAAATTTTTATTGGTAATACATCTTGTTGAATCTCATGATCATTATGTTTTTTACCAAGCCATCGATTACATGGAAAACCAATAATTTCATTTGTATCCATATTAATAACTTCAACTTTAGCAAGAAACCAATCAGGTGATATGAGAGAATTATCATGTTCAATATGTAACTTAGTTAATTCACCTAGAATTCAATGATAAATTCAGCTATCTGACCACGTTCAAATAAATTTCGACCTTTTTGTTTTAATCCTCGAATACAAGTATTACCAAGAGTAGCATAAAGAATAAGTGATACATTTGCATCTGTACCAGCATGTGAAACATCACATGTATAAAATGTGACTTCATATGAAATCACTATGTAAATGAAAAAAAATAATTTGTATTTTATCGAAAAGAAAAAAAAGAAAATCTTACAAGGACGAAATGATTATTAATTAGAATTTTGTACTGTAAGTATACGTTTAGTTCTTCCATCACCTTTTTCTTTTGATAATCATTCATGACAACACCATTATGTTCAATTTCAACAACTTATAAATCTCCAATATTAGGTTCTTGTAAAGAAAGTGTTTCAACTTTTCCTGGTACAAAACATTGTCGTTGCATTAATTCTAATGGTATGATACTAGTTTTGACTTTGATAGTATAAGCCATACCTCCTTCAGTTGAATCCCGAGATTCATCTGCTATACTTCACATAACATTTTTTCGTCGGCCATGACGAAATAGTTCTTGAGGATGTGGGTGAGGGTAAGAAAAGATAAAAACGTCCCCACCCACCCGATTCTCAAGATTAAAATGGCGTTACTGACCGTTTTTATAAGATGTATAGTCGGATTTTAAAAAAACTACATAATTTTTTCCTTCATACTATTTATCCGCGCCCTCTTTTTTCCATGTTTGTATTGGTTGTTCATAATGATCCAGTAAATACGCTTTCCTTTGTTTTCGAGATTTTTTTTGGATAATTAAAATGTTAGCACTGCTATGCGTTAGTGTCTGTAGGTCTTTCTGATTTCTTTACATATAAACGTTTCACACGGCCATTAGAAGATCACCCTAATAGCACCTTTTACTATATATTAAACATCTTTATTGGTATTGAGGATCGTGCTATTTAAAATTCATGCCGAAAAAATTTAAAAATCGGATCCGCAATACACCCGTGTCTCATTCTGCTCGATGCACAAGTTGTAGTTCTACATTTTTATTACCTGTACCAAACCAATCAAGAACATATTTTTTAAACTTCTGCAAAAATTTGCGAAAGCTTTCTGATGTATCAGATGCGTTTATTATGAATGCCGCACGCTTATATGTTGCGACAAATAGCAGAGATGCCATGAATTTTGTCACTTCGATAGTGCAAAATGAAATCACGAAATACAATTATTACGGACAACAATTAGCAAAACCATGGATACCATCAGAAATGAATTATCAACGATCTGCAACACTATCAAAAGGATTAAAAAACAGGAAATCGACGAGATGTCATTATCCTGCCTTTACCACTGTAATCAAAAGGAAAAAAGTTAGACAAAAAAAATGGTATGAACTGGATACAAATTCGAAGAGAAAAAAAACTATATTAAAATATATTCGACAAGAAATAAAATATCGTCGTCGGCATCATATCGTTTCATTGTATCGACAACAAAAACGATCATCATTCGAATATCGACAGAAGAAAATTCTTGGACGCAGAAGAAATCGAATAAAGATGCAACGAGCGTTGAAAAGCGAAAGAAAATTTGAGCCGAACCGACATGAAAGAAAACTAGAAAAACCTTACAAACGTACGACTACCTTCGGTGTACACGCCATGTCAAGTAACATTTCAGTCACTAAAGATAAAAATAGTTTCCGATGGCCAACAAAACTTCTTTTAAGCTCATATTTCCATTTTCCTGAAACAGTCATCTCTTCTGCTCATTCCTTTAAGTGTAGAAGTGGCAAGCTATTGCTTCGTTATTCTAATCAACATGTGTTTACCTATACTATATCCGGTAACTATTGTCGTAGTCCATTGAAAAAACATTTAGTCAATACAATTTCAACATTAGGTAATACTCAACCAGTATTTTTCGATAAATGCCAATCGGCGCCCATACAGTCCCGTCAGACTACAATTTCGATGAAACCTACTAATCATAATAATATTAACAAGCAATCAAAGAAGCAGAAAACGAAGAAACCTCATCGCTGATCTAAGAAGAACTGATGAATGACAATCGGTGCTATATACTATTCACTAATATTGTATATAATTTTATCCTTACAGACGTAGTTAGTTTAGTCATCTTAAAGGTGAAGGTGAGGATTGTAGGTGGATGCATGTCGTCTTTACCTACACCCACGAATATCAATAATAATATAACAATTATTCATATATTTTACAATTCTTTTTTCTCTTCAGTTGATTGAGGCAAATAAATTGTTTCATTTATTTATTTAAAATTTGTCGAAATCATTTCTATGAACAAATCATCTTAATCATTATTTATATTTTATTTAAAAATCAGCTTCACTATTATCTATTCTTCTTTCATTATTATCTCAATGATGATAAGAACAATATCATCAAATCTTGTTTTATCATAAAATCGATCAATTCATCACTTACATATTTTCTATGTTTTTATTTGCTTGCAAATTCATCGTATTATTTTATCAGATTTAATAAATTCAAAACTAGAATAACAAATATTTCATTATCATTATTACCAACATAAGAAATCAAATCAAATAAATTCACAAATTTATTCATTTTTAAAATATTTTTATTTATACAAAATGCTAATTCAATCTAGTTTTCATTTCATCTTATCATTCATTTTATTTATTCATGCTCGCACAACTTTAAAATACAAAATATTTTTCCATCTTACTTTCCTATTCTCTCAGATTATCTTATCCTCAATACAGTGTAAAACTCACTTCTATATGTATCTAAATCGAATCAGAAAATTTAATTTTAATTATTAAAATACAATATCAAATTAATCAAAACAAAATCAACAGATGAATTAAACTTAGTTTAACTATTAGCAAAGATTCATTTTTAATTTTTACATTTATTTAGTTTCCAATCAAAACAAACGGAAATATTTTCACAAAGAATTAAACTATTCATTTCACCATCAACATTAATAAATTTAATTCAAATCAATATCAAATTTTTGTATTCGATGATTGAGATAATCGACAACATAGAGATTGCCATGAACATCGAATGATAAGCTTGTGGAACAAATGAACTGATTCGGCTGTTCTCCTGTTTCATTTTCACCAACAACAACACTACCTTCCTTAGATCCTTTACACCAACGCATTATTCGATGATTATCCCAGTCACCCACATAAACATTACCTAAATGATCGACAATCACTCCTTGAGGACTAGACAATTGTGCCAAACTATTCCCTCTACCTTTTCCACCCGCAACAACAATACCTTCTTTTGCACCTTTCATCCATTTCATCACACGATGATTGTTTGTATCCGATACATAAACTGAATGATCTTCATCAACGAAGATACCAGTAGGATTATCGAGTTGATTACGATGATTTCCTTTTCTACGTCCACCTGCTACTATTGTTCCTTCTTTCTTCTCGTGTTTCCATTTTCTTACTTCATTCTTCTTATAGTCGGAGACATAAAGATCTCCATTCTTATCCATTGTTAGACGAGAACAATCAATGTCAGAAATGACTGTTTCTCCATTTCTACCATTTAGAAGGGACCATCGTACCACTCGTCTGTTGTCTTTATCACAAATGATGAGAGAATCATTCTTTTTATCAACAATCACATCTGTCGGGTTGTTCAATTGGTCACTTCGACTTCCCTGCCCATTTTCACCTGCAACAACTTGACCCTTCTTCGCTCCGTATTTCCATTCAACAATACGTTGATTCCAATAATCAGCAATAAAAATAGTTTGATGATCATTATCAACATAGATACCTTCAGGACAAGAGAGTTGATTTAATTGATTGCCTATTTGATTTCCTCCAGCAATAGTAGTTCCATGTTGTTTCCATTTTGTATTGATATTAATATGATTGACGGGGATTGATTGACCTCAGAGAAAAAAGATTCTGTTTATATTTGAATGAAATGGATGAATAAATGTGAATAAAAAAGTGTTATTTTAAAATGTAATAAAATAAAAATGATCATTTGTATAAAAATGAGAAATTAAAATGAATTTATTTTAGTTGAAAATGTGTGTTCATATTAAAATAAAGTTGAAATTATTCTATTTTTTTTTTCAAAATTAAAGTGTTGAAAAGAAAATTATTTCACATTTATGTTTTATCTTGTCGAACTGGACGATTTTATTGGTAAGGAGGGATTTTTTAATTTTAATTTTTATCAATTAAATGTTTTCTTTTTTTCTCAAAATAAGATTTGAAAATGTTAAGAAAAAAGCAAGATTAGTTTCGAAAATTGAAGTTTGTTTTTGAGATATTTTGACTTGAATAAAGTTCCCTTGACTGTAGTCTCTCAGGATCTAAATCTCGAAATTGACTGTATGTTCGCATGTTTGTCCGTAGAGGCGGATCCAACTAATGAGATTTCAGAATCTCCAGAAACTTAGCTAACCAGATAGTCAAGTGGAACAGGAAAGAGAAGAAAATCAGAATTGGTTGCAATGCAATAGTGAAGAACCTTGAGGTGGACAGAGGGATACACTGTCTCACCTCATATACCGCGCCTAAGAAGTAGAAAAATAAAATGTAGAAGACTTGCTATAGCCAAAGGACCTACAGGATCACTGCGATCCACACTGCCTGTATTTATTTGTATTTTTAAATTGTATTCGACATTTAATTAAATAAGTTTTTCAGGTTGCTTAATGAATTTGGTATATTTATATACAGTTCAATAAAGCAAAATTTTTTCTATCTTTTGAATATAACAATCAAAGATAGATACAAGAATTGAGAGGATATCGACGAAATATTGTCAAATGGAAATTTCGATAATTTGATCTAAACTAATGGAACACATTATCACTGTCACCTGTATTATTGTTTAAGATCTGGTGAGAATAAGCTGAAATTATAGGTATATAGGTTTTCAAACATGATATTTCATTCTATAGGAAAAGATCGTATTTTTAAAATTCATCAATTGCGCACATTGATTAGATTGGACGGTATTCTCGAAGAGGTTCTCTTGAAAGAGAATAAACAAAATATACATAGTATTAAATATACAATACATAGGCATATAATTTTTCAGGATAAAGTAAACTATAGAATTAAAAGGATCTTGACTTATTTAAACATATTTTTAATAAAAAAGAATATAAAAATTAACTGTAAAAGTAATTATTATAAAATACATGTTACTTTCATTATAATAGTATAACAGCACAAGATTGAGGGAAATTACAACCAATATGTTAACATTGTTTGAATAAAAATAAGAATTTTAGCATTGCGCAGGTAAGGTTTTAAATAATATTCATAATTTACTTGCAACTGAACGAAAATCTAGACGTTAGGTTATACATATTTCAGGAACATAGTTTGTGAAAATTATTAAGTAATTGATTATATTTTGAAGCTATATCTATTCACTAGATTTTATAAAAAAACACTCGTTAAAACTTTTAGAGCACATTAAATTTAAATCATATGATTATTATTTGTTGTCTGCTTCGATAAAAGAACGAATAATTTTTGCATTCCTACATATGATTTATTCTTAAATAAGAAAATCTTTGACTCAATAGATATCAATGGAATGATTTAGAAAGACGAAGAAATTTGAAAAGAAAAGATGACCATTCATACTTACTCCCATGATTGATTCTAATGTAAATAATTTTTCACCATCTAACTAAAATAATTGATTGATAAACAAAAAATAAAATATCTTGATGAAATTAATAATGCTTTTTGGCGTGTTTCGTCTTTTCGGACTTTTAAAAACATTTTCTAGTTGACAAAACGTTCAGTTTTATATTTAAGATACTTCATTCAAAATAAGAAGTTTTTTTTCAATAAGCTTACCGATAGAATCGTTTGTTTTATTCATATTGGGATTGGCAATTAATTGATGTGGCTTTTTCAATGCGAATAGTTTTTGACGAATAAACTTACCAATAGAATTGTTTGTTTTATTAACACTAACATTGGTAGCTAATGAATTTTCCTCTTTGAATGTCAGTAATTTTTGACGCCATTCTATACTCATATTAAGTTTACGTCTCTGTGATGCGAGCTTAGCAAGGTCTTCATATAAACTGATATGTAATGGGTCATTCGATGGAAGTTGGTTCAACAAACGAGTTAAATATTCTTCGGCTAAATCAAATTCACCCATTTCGCATAATAATTTTCCTAATGTTTGAAGATTTGTCTCTTCACTTTCAATTTGTTGTTTCATATACATAAGAACTTGTTTCAAATCATGTTCATCATCATTACACAAAGTCATCTTAATGATCCATATTTGATCATCATTACGATCAATACTATTAAGACGAAAAATAGAACCAATCATAAAGAGAACTTCTGATTCATCTGGAAAATGACTATGTTTACTGATATTAGCAAATGGTTTTGTAGTGACTGTCTTAGGATCAGCATCAATTTCAAATAATACTCGTTCAGAATCAATCTGTGTAGTTATATCACCCAAATAGAAGAGAGCTGTTGTGCGTTGTTTACTAGTGGAAAACATTGAATTTATAGAGATGAATTGACTAATATTATTTTTAAGACCATCTAACTCATCGATCGTCATTAGTTGACTTCGATAAACTTGCAAATGACGCTTAGATTGAGATTTTTGTAATTGACGATAAATATCATAAATAAATGCACGAAATAAAAATATCAAATGAATGTTTTGTGTTCGTAAAGCTGCATTAAGAGTTTTATAAAAAAATGTTTCTTTTGTATACCACAATAACACTTTATTAGGTGAATAGTCTTTTTCAAATTCACGAAGATTATTTAGTTCGATATAATTTCCTTCATACTCTTTCTCACAAAGGCTGATAAGTTCATTTTTGTCTATTTCAGTTGATTTCAATCGTAGAAGACAATCTATAAGGATTTGAAAAAAAACAAATTCTCCATTAACTCCTGTTGTTGATTTTCCTGCACCAACATTTGTTGTGAAAATATTGATTGATAATGGTTCCTCTACCTTTTTCTGAATTTTATGATCTGTTGTAATTTGAGAGACAAGTTCATCAAGATCAACAACAACTGATTTTATCTGTAAAAAAAATAATAAAATGAAATAGCAATTTCTTAGCATAGTTTTACTTTTGAAAATTTGTAAGCCCATTGTTCATTACTGTTCTTATCCATACAATAAACATAAATTGATATAACTTGTCGAAGTTGATGAATGTAGGGTACTATTTCTTGTCCTAATCGTCCACTAACAATAAGTATCAATCGATCTTTTTGTGATGTTTGTTCAATATATTGTTGACATTGTTTTATATCTTGAAATTTCTTGATATGGTTAATAATGGAACGTAATTTTACTTCTGTCTTTCGAGTGTCTTTAACGTATACATTTGCATCTAGCCAAATAATTGAGAATATTTCCAGGGACTTATCATCTGTGTTTGTGCAAAAAGTCATCATTTGGTAAAACAGCAGTGGCCATGTTAATTCAAGAAACTAAATAATAAAGAGTTCGTAGATATTATATGTTTGATCTATATGTAATTATCGAATAAATTGTGCGTTTTTTACAGTCAAAAAAAAGGATGTCACATTTCTGTCATTATTGTTTCATTTTTTGATTTTTTCACGGTTTGATGCAAATGGAAGAACAGAAGAATTATATGTTATTATTTATTAAAGAAAATAACTCGTTTCTTATTGTAACTTATTTTTTTCATTAAGATCTTAGAAGTTAGTTACGTAACATTGTCATTAACGAAAACTAATTTTAGTTTAAAAGAAACTCTTTTACCCTAATCTATTTAATTCGTGATCATTTCTACTGGATTTGGTAAAAGAAAAAGTGAGATTCATTTTCAGAATCTATGTTCAAAAGAAAACTGTTTTCTCTTTGTTGCATGATATCATATTTAGTACATCTCAAGGTTCCATTTGTAAACTTCTAGAGGAATGAGTATTGTGTTTTAAAACAAGTTCGTACCGAAAGAAAGAGTTTTTCATGACGAACTAGTTTGGATCATTTCGGAAGTGATGTTGCAAATAGGAAAAAACATTTTGACATTTGTTCAATGAAGTTTATTTAAAATAGAATGTATATAACGATATTTATCTTTATGTGAAATGAAATAGTTGTTGTAATTGAAAAATAGAAAATAGTTAATAGAGATAAACTTTATTAATTGTCTATTCGAACAGTAGATTATTGTTATTTATTAGAAAATGTCTATTCAAGAATCGATCTTCTATATTTTTATTGAGACTAGGATTCAAATAAATGAGTTAGGTTATTATCAACATAAAAAGATTTCTTTGTAAAATAATACAAAGTTTGATAACTTTGAATAGAATTATTATTTTTCGAATCAAATAAATAATTTAACACATTGATTCTATTTCTCCATAGACAAAAAAAGAAAAAGAAGAAAAATATCTCTGTATTTTATTTACTTAAATCCTCTACTGAAGAATAAACAAAATTTTTCTTGATAAAATGAATTATGCATACAATATTCTCTTTATTAGCCATATAATGTTCATTAATAATCAAACATAAAACTATGAATGAAACTTTGAATATGAAAAAGGTTTTTTGTGTCAAAAAAGTGTTAAGACGGTATTAATTTTTATAAACAATAAATTTTATTAAATCGATTTGAAAATATTTTATTCTAAGAAAATAAATACATTAAGAAAAAATAGTTTTCAATTATAAATAAATAGATTTTATTTATTTAAACTTTTTTTCTTCATTTTTTTCGATAGAATTATTTTCAGAATTTTGATTTTTTCATTTTCTATTCATTTGAAAGTACTTTATTCATATTAGTTTGCACAAAACCATTATTAAACTCTTTATTTCGAATTATAGATTATTTGACACCCTCACAAGTGTTGTACGATTCTTTCTTAATGACAATCTAAATGATTATGTCTACCTTACAGAATAAGAGTCCATTATAAACAACTTACCAAATCTGATTATTGTAATACTTGAATAATATATGCAGAATCTAGTTATGAAATATGTTTTATTTGGTAAGAAAAAATAAAAGAAAATAACACGAGGAATATAATCGTAAATCAATGAACCGTAACGAATAATCAAGGAGAACGACAACAAGCGATACAGAGATAGAAAAATAATAATAATTAGCGTCGTAATGCTCCATCTATTCACCGAAAGAAGTTAATATGAAATTTCAAAATAATTAATTATTAAAGAGTGGTTTACTAAATTATTTGACAAAGAAATATTTAATATATAAAAATCTTTTTACAATTCAAATTGATTGATTGAATATATATTTGAAAAATGAAATAGAATAAAAAAGATTTTTTTTCTATAGAAAAAACGATGTATAATAATTCATTTTTCATCATTTGTTTCTAATCTAGTTTCTTAATAAAATCATATTTATGTAAATTAAATTAAAATGAAAAGAAAAATAAAACTTGTGAAATATTTAATATAAATGATGAAAAAGTGTGAGAATAAATAAATAAATCTAATTATATTATCTTAATATTAAATATTTTATTATGAATTTTATCATTTAGAATAATAATCTTTTAACAAAAAAAAATCTAATAAAATAATATTTTACATACTCATGTCCGATTAATCTCAAAATTAATCAAAAACTAATTCTGATAATTAATAAAATTGTTTCAATTTAATTTTTTTGATTATTAAAACTTTTCTAAAATATCGATTAAGATTATTTTAAATAAGAAAAATAATTACGAAAAATAAAAACTAATTAATTAAATTCTATTTGACAGTATTCTGTTAATCTTATAGATAAGAAAATATTCACAATCCGAAATCAAATCGATTTTATTATTGAATATTTTTCGTAATTATCGTACTGATATTCACAATGGAAATATCATATGTTTGTATTCTAAATTAAACCGAATAACGAAAAAGATACGAAATGAAGTTTAAACTTATTTTTGTGAATCATCAAAATATTCAATAAGTTAAAAATCTCTTTAGAAATTCTTTTTCAATACAATATATATCATAAATGATCTTGTTTAATTCATTTAATTTTATTTATTTAATATAATTAAAACAAAACTTTGCAACAGATGATTAAATTTGTATTTTAAAGATAAATCAACATCGAATTTATTGAAGAAGTTTTAATCAACTTAATTTTAATGAAGAATAAAGTTTTGGAAAATTATACATCTCGAACGAAAATATTTCTTCAGATTTTTTCTTTTTCTTAATTTATATTTAATTATCATGTGAAAATAACACAAGATTTATTTACAAATATTTCAGTTAAGTCATCAAATTTAATTCAAACAAATAAATAAAACATTTTCATTTTCACTTTCTATTTTAATTAATTAAATTCACATCATAAAAACAAATAAATTCATCTTTTCATATATAATCTCAAAACTTCTTTCCCATTATCATATCATCAAAACAGAGTGCATAATTTATTGATATAACTAAGATATAAAAAAAGGATTAGAACCATTATTTTCATCACTCTGAGTTACATATGCATGTATTCGAATCAGTTTAAACAAAAGTTTGTTTTCATGAAATATAAAACGAAATTATAGTGTTTCATCAAAACATTATTTCCTTAATTCTTTAACACTGTTGCGAACTGCACTGGACATTCTTCTTTTAACTTCTTAATACCATTAAGAATCGTTTGTTGATGAGCCTTCTCAACACCAAGTTTCACAAGGTTTTCATTGTCTATATGATTAATAAGCCAATATCCATTGATATCGTGCTCTTTGAATGTATTTGCGTAAGCCTCACATCCATGACCCAAGCGTTCAAGCCAACGACAGACATCGCTAGCAGTTTTTATTTTGTCATGATTGTAAGTTCCTACAAAAAACTATAGTTGTGAAAAATTTCTCATCGTGCCTTTCTTCGGAAATATATAATACCGTAAACAATATACTTCCTCTGCTTTGGATACACATCAGTCATAAGTTACTGCATATCAAAAACAAAAGTATAATCAATTTCCTAGACTTTTAGAGGATAGAATCTGTTCAATCGATTATCATTTTGATTTTTTTTCAAAATAATCTCATTATAATGGGCATATTTATGAAAACTAGTACAAAAAATACTTAGTTACTATAAGTTCTCAATCATAGGAATAAAACTTGTAGCTAATACGACTTGAACATTTTCAAAGTGGAACTGCTGCATAAATTATCTAATTTAGTTCAAAATATAAAAGTCTTACGCTGAGGTTGAGACCTAAGATTTCTTTTTTCTGCTGATTTTGGTCGATTATGGTTAGTGTGCTCTTCTGAACCAGGTGGTTGCAATGTAGAACTAGAACTGACAGATGATTTGCGTCGTGGTCTACTACCATCTTCAATAACTATTAATGATGGATTTGTTAAAGGTGATAATTTTTTTGGTGACCATTGTGTCCCTTCATAAGCGATCCACTTGCTCAAACATTTAATAAACTCCTTCGCGTAAATTTCTTCTTTCCATTTAGGAAGTTCTTCATAACCATAACAGGCTCCTGCTAATTGACCATATATGGCTGCTGTTGTATCTGTATCATCGCCAAGATTGATAGCAGCAAGAACCCCCTTTTTGAAAGATCCATCATCAGACCAGAAAGCCCATAAAGCAGCTTCAAGAGCATTAATAATATACCCTGTTCCTCGGATACCTGCATCATATCCTTTTGCTTTCTTATATGATCCGCGTGCGATGTGCTCAACCTGTGGATGTAACGGTTTATTATCAAACCATTTTATATGTTTATCGAAAAAATTTTCATCGAGCAAGTCTTTCTTCGTTTCGCCTTTGACAGCGGCCACAATTAAAGCACCATAATAACGACATGCATCATATGCTTTCTGATCACCATGAGTAATCTCTCCACTATGTCCAGAATATTCAACAGCATAAATAGGGTATTGATAAAAGAATAATGGTACAGGAGCCAGTCGCATCAATGCTCCATTACCAGCTGCGTCATCTGCACTGCATTTAACGTCGAAATCGATAAGATGAGCAGGATCTGAAGTCAAATCTAAGGCATCCGAAGAAATATGATATTTTTTAGCAACATTTGCTTGACGACGTTCAAATTCGAGCAGTGAACTTTTTGTAGCGACACCAATATCAAAACATTTTCCTGTGGAAGACATATATCCCTCTCGGAACCACCATTTGTAGCGAACTAATTGATCGTAAGGATCATAATCTTGTCGAACTATTAATGAACTTGCAAGACATAGTGCCATCGATGTATCATCAGTGAACTGAAATATATATCAGAAATTATGCACATATACAAGTACAAAATACACTGTGATTATTAATCTATTCTACAATTTACGTATCTTTTACAATTTGTACAATGATCAATGTCTAATTGTACTTTTAGAAAATATGACAACTAGTCAGAGAAAAATGTGAATAAAGTTATATTAAGATTTATACATAATAAACTAGATTTCAATGAGATGAAAATTTCTTCAAATTTTAATTAGAGAAGATAAGACATTTATATACATAAAACACCTGTTACCTGTCCTTTGTTCAGGTTCCACGTCCCACCTCCCTCGAGGGTTTCTACTGGTTTCTCGACCAAAACTTCATGAGGTTGGAATTCGACATAAGCACCGAGAGCATCACCCAATGCCATACCAATCATGGAGCCATGAATACGATCGAATATGTCAGACTGACATTCCTTAGGAGGTTTGCTCATGGCACCCTCAAGCTCTTTCGGTGTCTTGATCCTTCCATCAGAATGATGCTGAAGATTAAGCCATGTTTTTTCTAAAAACATACATTCTTTTAGGTCTGTTTTCGACTGAATACGAAAATTTATCCTTTTAATTCCGACAGATGACTTTCATACGTTACCTTTTTCACCTTGATATGAAGAATGCTCGTATGATGAATTAGCCATTTCTAAAACATATATATGAATAAAATAATAAATAAATGACATTTATTTTCCTTGTCGATCGAAGTCACTCTAATTATCATCTAATTTCACGCTTCTCATATTATAAAACAACGCTATTTAAATTTTAGTTAGTTGTTAGACGTCTTTTTTTTATAGATTTTGTTAATATTTACAAGATTTACATGTAAAATCTGTCGCAGTAACTGAGCATTAATTCTTTGACCTTATATTATGCTGCAAAAAATTATAAAGAATACGAAATTCATAATAAAATGTCCTAAATTTTTAAGTTGTATATGGAAACAAATTGTTCTATTTGAATATCGTATTTTTCTTTCACATAATATGAAATAAAACCTTCTGCATCTATCAAAAGAATTTAACGTTAGTTCTCATCTAAGGCTGATGAATATTACTTGAATGTGTTCTTTCACAAACATTGTTTTAAAAAATTTATTACTTACATTGTGTACGAAAGCAACTTACTTATGTATTTTTTTAAATCAAATGAAGACTAAAATTCACCGTTTTTTTCTCTTTTTTCTTCTTTTCTCTTCTCGTGCATCACAGCACATGCTAGCTAAAAACATAAACTGCATTAAAGGCAGAAAGAAAAGTTACACAGAGTAGAACAAATACCATAGAATGATATCATTTAAAAGAAAACGGTAAAATGCATCGATTTGTAACTATTATAGGAAAGTGAATGTTCTCTACACGAAAAACGAACACCAATACTTCTCTACACTATTCTACAAACAAATACTGCTTGAGGATAACATATAAATTCTACCCGTCGATTGCTGTTCAGATATTTTTCAAAAGGTGATGAAGGGTTTCAATATAAAAACATACTGTTTCTTTTTTTGAATCGATGCGCACAACAATTTTGTATGCATATATAACATTTTTATTACAAAATATGCTTGAGGATGTGGGTGAATGTCAGAGATGGGCAAGTCAAGCCATTTTTGACTAAAGTCAAGTTGGACTTGACTTGACTTGGAGCTTTTTTTGATTGCAGATGACTTAACTTGCGACTTATCTTGAAATATCAAGTCTAAAAATGTATGTCGCATGAAATTTTTATGCACTTCAGTTTTGGTTTCTAATTTGAGAATATAACAGGAAAATATAACTCATTACCAAACCTATCCAGCAGATGAATCACTGCCTATATTCATCATTGAAAAGAAATCTATTTCATATAAAACGATCGGTAAATTGGAATAAATCAGAAAAATAATCTGTCTTCAATATCCAAGTACGTCTTCGATTTAGAAAAGAATGTTTTTTTATTTTCGATTACAGCATCATTATTATTTTCTGATAAACTTCAAGACCGAGAAGAATGATTAGGAATCGAATATCTATAATAGTCGTACCTATATCTACACTCTCAAATAAAAATCTATTTTTATTTTAACGTATAAAAATTTATTAATAAATGTCACAAATCCGCATTATTATATTGGTATATATAATGAATGTTGTGTTGATTGGATTTCTTTTATGTTTCAATATTGTCTATCTGAAAAATGCAACGAGATAACCTTCTCTAATACGTGCTATGGGCAAATATTTTCTTTTCATTTATCATTCTATATGTACAAGTAGTGTGAAGTTGTTACTTTTTAATCTCCTAATGAACCTGATTAGAAGGATGACTATTTTGCTTTGTTCAAGTAGAGTGTAAAATATAGAGTATCATAAAGATCTTGGGTAATTGATCGTCATGATGTACTCTTGTTGTTAGAAAAACTCATAAGAATGAGCTGATTCTTTTTATATAAAAATTGTAATATATGATTGTTAGTCCGATTGACCGAATACGTCAGATTGTTATTTCTTGTTTGCCTATTTTCAGGTCACTATCTGGAGACAGAAAAACAAAAATTGAATATAGCCAGCGGCCAACGAATATTTTGTAATATATATAAATGTTTTTTTCTCATATTGAATATTGATAAAAAGAAGTTTCCATCAATATATTTTTATTAATTTCATTGACAAATGAGACATTATTACCATTACCAGTTGGATTATCATCAAATGGCGACATATACTTGTCATGTATAGTTAACATGCAATTGCGATTAATGACTCATTCCATAACTATATATTTAATTCATATTATTTTTCTCGTGATTTATATGTGGCTACCATCTTTAACTATGATTCTTTATGTGTCGTCTCTTTCGTTTTGAAATTTCATTCGTATTATTCAAGAAAACATTCAACTGAGATCATATGAATATGAACAACGATATTTGTATTGGATTATTATAATGATTAAACACATCATATTGATGCTTGTTTATATTCTTTTCACTCTTTTCACTCTTTTCTTTAAATTCTTAGGATTTTTCAATATCGATATCAAACAATTTACAACACCGTAATCATGTTCAAAGTGCCACTATTTTTCTGGATGCGTTATGCCGAATGTCAACTTGATGCTTTTCCTAATATACTCGAATCTTGTATTCGGAGTGCAATGTGTAAAATAATCTCTGAACGAAATAACATCCATAAATTTTCTAAATAAAATCATACTTCAACCAAGATGTCATATGCTATATAAGAATGTATTATTTTTATTTAAAAAAACGATTTACAACCAAATATCAAGCGAATGTGGTTTATGTCTGTATTCTATTTGACCTGGTCGTATTCGTCGACTAAGTAAAGAAACACCAAACCATTTAGGAGCTAATTTTGATAAACTATATTCATTATCCTCATAGGCTTCACGGGGTTGACAGTTTAAAGTAAAATGAATTAAAACAGGAAAACGTTTGAAGAGTTTGGCGATCCATCGAACTAAATGTTTCGTAGAAAGCCAAGTACTTGGATGTCCATTAACTTTTAAAATTAATTCTTTTAAACAAGGTGGTAACGATGAATGACTAAAAAGAGTATCGACAATTTGAGCAAGATCACCAAGTGAACTATTGTCATGACTGACAGTATAACAAAAGACTTCCAATTTACAGGCAAGTAAAATACCAAGTTCTGTATTCGATGCTAGAGCACGACCATATTGTAAATTTTGTTCGATGTAAAGTTCTCGTAGTTGTGGTGAACATTGAACAACATGTGCTAAACGTGTGAGTTTCTTACCAAAAACATAACTACAATTAATTAAGGTAGAAACAAATAGAAATTATTTATAACTCACTTTTCATTCATAGGAACTTCATAATCGATCGTAATTCTCTGTAAACGATGCCAACAAGGTATTTCTTGTAATTCTTTGAATAATCCATTATTGACATAATCGCATTCAGAAAGTTCCATCTAAAAAAATAAAAATAGTTTTTTCTCAAGTTTAGTGTACTTCTCTGTTTACTTCTTTAATATTTTCATCCAATGGTTCACCTCGAAACCACTCATCACTCGTCGTTGAATTACTTTCATCTACATCCATGACTACTGGTTCATCCGAAATATTATTATCACTACTGGTTGAATTATCTTCACCTTCATCCATAACTACTGGTTCATCTGCAATATTATCATCCTTTACTGGTGGATACGAAAAAGACATTTCAGGATAACGAATATCTATATTTCCATATCCTGCTGAATATTCATCACCAGTTGCTCGTCGATATTCAGCGCAGATATCTTCTAGAACTGATTGAGCACCAAGATTATAATTAGCACTTAGTTTCATTCGAAATTGAAATATATTTGATTTTGTCAATGTTAACCATCTTTGTAATGCTGCAACTCGAGGAAAACTACTATTGTTAGTGAATCGTACATGACCTGATAAATTGAAACAATCCAGTTGACTATGCCGTTGAAGATCTTCGAAAAATATTAAAAACCAAGTCACACCAGTGAATAGTTTTATGTTCACTTGACGTAATTCAGGCGCAAAAACTTGTTTCAATGGAATCGGATTTGGTAGATCGATTGACATATCACTACGCTTGTGACTAGTGAATAAAAGCAGATAAGAAAATTTCTTATAGAAGCAAACGCTTACCATGTAATTGAAACATGTAATTGACGTAGTTGTGGTAGATAGCCATTGTTCAAGAATTCAACTAGTAGTTCTCTAGAACAATCATTAATAGAAAGTATTTGTAGATTTTGATGAATATCCATTCTAGAAGAAAGTTCATGGGATGTTGAATTAACATAGATAACCGGTCGATTAACAATTCGTAAGTAAAGTGAACGTAATTCAGGTAAAGAATCAAGAATTGGAATAACAATACCAAAATCATCACATTCATTGTATTCATCACAATGATATAGTTGAAAACCACTGTCCAATGTTAATGATTGAATGTTCGCTAAGAATGAACAATCAGCAAGAAGTGTTTCAAAGACATCACGTGGAACATCTTCAATGGTTACTGCTTTTAACGCAGGCCAAAACTGACTGTCTAATGGTACGTTATCAATGAACTGTTGAACTGCATGTGGAGCACGTCGTTCAGAGAGATGAAGATAAACAATTTGTGAAATATATCTTGGAATAATTTTAGTTAAATAATTACAATAAAGTTTATAACTCATCGATCGATTGTTTGGTAAACTTAGTGGCTGTTGAATAAGTATCGATTGAAACCGTCGATTGAGTTTCTTAAATCCATGAAGTAGATCATGTGGTGCTAGATATTCGAAAATTATACCAAAAAGTTCATTCGGTAAATCTTCAAAATGTGTTCGATGTTGATTCATGATATCGTTTATTGGAATTATTTGATGTATCTAGTACTATTAACTATGAATAGATATAGACAGAAGAACTAAATCAGTTGTTTCTGTGTCTACAATGTCCAATAAGAAATCGATAGTGTATAATATTATCATATCAGATGTCACTGTACTATGAAGAAAAACGGTTCTTAATGGTGTATAGTTTGTGAACCGGAATCAATGAAAATGAGATCATCTCTACCATCTTGATTGTCTGATGACAACTTAAGACAGCTAGGTACACCTAATATAAAATAATAATAGAATAGAAAATGGTTAGTGTATTTGTGCGTCATCTGCTGATACTCACATTGATAATTGCTGATTGAAAAAGGCTTCGTTTCCTCTTTACTTTTCTAATCCTTCACTATTATACTGGTGATGCCGTGGTCGAATACGATATTTACATGTGTCACAGGAAGAACAGAACAAAAAAAAATGTCTTATGAAAAAAAGACGGCAGGATAAACAATATGCCGTATATATACTCACTAAATCTCGTTCACTATGTATGCAAACATGCCTTTTTTGTATCTTAGTTTGTGTCTGTTCTTAATCACATCTATAGTCGCTGTCCAAAGGGTCACTCTTCCCGATGCTGACCGAAGTTACTTGATTGAGTTACTTCCACAAACATACAAAGATATTTCAGCTGATCGTGCTCAAGAACTCGTCTATGAATTAGAGAATTTCTATACAGGAATTCGTGATAATCTATGGGCAGATTGTGGACCGCCTTATGAAATCGACAAAGCGTTTCATTTGCACATTATCAATACACGTATGTACGAAGCATTTTCACAAGTTACTTTTGGTCGATTTGTTCATCATTCACCATTCTGGTCTGCTCATCCAGCACCCAACGATTTACTCGAGCGATGCGGTGATCAAGTGAAAAGATTAAGAGATCATGATGTTCCTATCGTTTACGAAAATTTATGGATGCCATCAATACGTGGAAAATGTGAAAACGATTTAGTTGATAAAGAAGATGAACGCCCTTATTATTGTGAGCTGTAAAGTTTCAATTAAATAAACGCTTTAGGCAAAGAAAATAATCGAAGTGAATTTCTACTATACTTATAGAGATGAGTGTACAGCTCGTTTTATTTTAGAAACATTCACCCACCCTCAAGATTCAGCTGAATTCTGAACTTATAGAATAATCAATTATATGAGTTTATTGATAAGATAAAAAGCAAAGCAATGGTAAATGATATAAGCCGAAATATGAAGCAAATTTGAAAATAAATAATAGTTTATATGAGTTTTTTCATTAAATTAATAATTGAACAAATCATAATTAACATCCATGTAGGATAATAAGTCATGCAAGCATATGATGATTTCTTTGATGTTGCTAAAAGACAAAATCAATTTTTCAACTTTTTTATTAGAACTAGTTATTTAGAAAACGAACTCAATTCTTATCTCTTTGAAATATTACAATGATCAGACAAATGAATATGTATATTTTTAAAATATTTACAATTAATTTCATGTTATATACAGATATGATATTTTACTTACCGCGAACAGTTGTAAAATTAGATGTAGATGTAGATGAAATATCTGAATAAACAAATCAATTATTCAACTTAAAATAGAAGTTAAGACTATCTTAAGGGTGGGTGTGGATTCCAATATTACATTTTAGATACACCCGCACCCACTCACCCTTAAGATGATTTACAAAATACTTACTGTGAGGATTAAGAGTGATGACATTTGGGCCAGATGTTAAAATGGAAAACTTTCCAGTCATATTTGGAGAAGATGTTGTTACCACTAATATGTAGTTAGTGTCAGCGTGGAGATAAGTGATAAACTTGAAATCTTGATAACTACAGCTTCGATAGTCTTGTAAGAGCAGATTCTCAAAAGGATTCACTGGATTAAAATCATCTTGGTAAATATCACTAAATGTATTCATATTGCTATCACTAGTCAAAGCATAGTATCCAGTTTCCACTACATTCATTCGTATAGTTTCATAGTAATAATTTGATTTTCGACCATCTCGAGAATATGTTTGACTACTCGTTGTCAGCTCTAATGAATAGTTCGATTGTACAGCTGATGAATATGGTATTTCTATGACTGATGGAAAACCTATGTGATGAGAACAAAAATAACAGTCGAGATTCATGATAGGCCTTGATTAACTGAGAGAAAGACGAATCGTCTGGATGTAAGAGAGAAAATTGAGCATCATAAGTCATCTCTTATATACCCTGAATATCGAAAGGCATGTCGAAGTTGGGCCTAGCTTTCTCAAAAGATGATTTTCTATAATATCACTCTCAATGAAATAATTAAGCCGTCGATGGAGAGCACGAATAGAATCTGTGAACATTTTTCTATCCTCGAATACTCGATAATGTATGTGACGAATGAGTTTGGAATAACTTCTTTATTTCGAAAATGGATAATGTCCCAACGTTTGAGATATGAAATATAGTTTATTTATAGTCTTATTCTGCTACAGCTGTAATTATTTCAAAAATTAAAGTATATAAAGATATCTTTTAGATTCATACAATGTAAGAATATATTTATATTTTTTATCTTTACGTTGTATGTATGTTTGCAGAAGTTTTTTTTATTATATAGACATTGGGTGATAGGGCATTTTGTAATGAAAAACAAATTTTTTTTCATTTCATGATCACTAGCAGAGATTCATGCTGAATTTTATATTATACCATCTGGCAAAACAAGTTTCTATTTGTGAATATGCCAAACTCAACTAAATACTCGTGCTGACATTGACAGATATCCCTTTAATAGCTGTAGTACAAACACTTACTACTATTCATGAAATCAACGGTGTCTGGACCAGATACAAAGATCGAGAATGCATCTGTATCATAAGAACTCCGCGTTGTCACAATCAATATATATGTGATACTGGTTTCAAGAGCAATTGTGAATCTAAACTGATCATATTTGCAGCCGTCATCATCGCCGAAGAGTCGATTTTCATATGGACTGGATGGATTGAAATAATCTTGATAAATAGAGCCGTATGTGATCATATTGCTTTTGCTGAATAAAGTGTAAAAACCACTTCTACGAACATTCACTTGTATCGCTTCATAGTAAAAATTTGATCCTGAACAACTACGTAGGTATGTCGAACTATTTGTTGTCAGTTTTGATGCATACACTGTTTGAACAACTGATGAAGTATTCACTAACATAAAAGAAAGTCGATTCAATTTTGAATCATATGGAAATAAGAGTAAACAATTTGAAATATTACTTTCTCTCTCAGATAGGGTGTGCTTGTGGGTGCGGATTCGTCTTTTCTTTACTCTTATGCACACTCACATTCTGTGAGTACATCAAACACAATATAAGTATTTTATCATTCATAGTATTTTTTATACAATGGAGATGGTGATCTGTATAGGATAAATGAATCTATATCTTATTTTAAACTAAAATAGTCAAATAATTTCACAAAACTTTGTTTTCATTTACATTAACCTGTTTATCTTTTCTTTTTTTTTGATTTTGATTTTATCTGTAAAAGTCAATTAATTCTCTTTTTTTATATGTTATAATGCGATATGATAAAATAGATTTCTTTCCTTTCTGTTGTGTCTGATTCTCATCTCAAGATCTATAAATAAATTCCATATCGAGAGAAGATTCTAGTAATGTTCAAGTTTTCAATCGTTTTGAAACTATCAATCGATACCAACTCAAATATCTACAATACTATCAATCAATATTCCAACTTATACTTTTAAACTTAAAATATACTCTTTCTTCAAACTACAAAAATGTCTCCCATAGCCGCTGCAAGAAATGAGAATCATCACTTTTAAATATATGACAGAAGTTCCTGTCAAATTCCATAATCTATTATTTCATCCCCTCTTGTTCAACTAAATCGCTAACGAACAATGTCATTTTTGCATTAGTTGTTCTCCAGTATATGATAAATAAAAGTATTTACCTGATGCTTCATTGTTGAAAATGAACAGAAGAACAATGATAAGTATATGGATATTCCACATCATTCAACAAGATTTCTTTTTTGATAAATTAGTTAACTAATAAAATAATCTTCTTCTTCTTTGTTTTCGATGAAAACAAAATGACACTCGTTCTAGATTTTCTCTCTAGTTATATGTCTCTCTCTTTTGCTCTCATTCATTTCTTCCAACAGAACACACAAAGAGAAAAAATAGTGTTCTAAAGAAGGTTTTGTTCGTCGTAGTTAAGATAAAAAATTGATTTTAGATTTGAACTAATGAACAAAATTGATAATTTAATTTAATATTTTTCATTGAATTTCATTCTTTTCGAAATTAAAAAATACTGAATAGAACTTAAATTCAGCACAATCCTTTTCTTTTTATTTATTTTGTAGAAAATCTTTGATTTTACTGAAGAAGAACGTGATAAAGAGAAAAGAGAATTGATCAAAATCTGTATTAATCATCGGACGTGTTTTAACTAAGAACAAGATATCAACTATCATTGTCAATAAATAATCGTCGTCAATGAATTATTCACGATTAGTATGATGTCCTTTTTTTATTTGACTGTGTTAAATAATCTGCTTTGTTAGGACTCACTTTTAATCACGTTCTTTGTTTTTCTATGCGCAATAAGTATTTTGTAATCGACATGAAAAGATACATGAATTCAACATATACAAAAGCAGAAGTCTAAAAATGGACGGAGTGTGGGTGTAGATAAAATATGACCATACTTTTTACATCTTTACTCATGCGCGTACACTCACACCACTCATTATATACCAAATATTACTAATTAATTTGAAAAATATTTGCAGTATAAAATACCTGAAAATGAGCAAAGGGTGGGTGTGGGTGTGTAGATGTGGGTGCTAGGTAAATACAGTATCCACACCCACAAGATTTTTCTTTTTTTTCGATTTTTATTGGTATTTCGCATTTTAGGGGAGTAAGAGGGGTCTAATGGAAAAGATAATTAGTGCAGTCGATAGAGCTCGCCGAGTTCTACTTGGAATCAGTTTATAGGCGAATCGGGTGCTAGAATATCCTATGTTGATTAGCACACAATCGATGCTGTTTTTTCCAGTCGGTCCCGGGATATATAGTAAGGGAACTCGTCGAAAATGAGTGGTATTGGGTCCCGTGTGTTCGAGCGCTGGACTTGAGAGGAACACGGTGGCAGGAATTGAGTCGGAACATGCAGGGAAAACGGCAGAATATTCTTATGAATTCCGGCGCGGAATACTGCTTCCATGAAAACTCCGGAATCAGCCCCTTCCCGACTGGATTGTTTGGCCTGGGAAGAATCTAATAGTCAATTGTTTTCGTTAGAAAAGATTCAACATTTGCCTAAAACAATTCGATTGTATATAGCACAAAATCCTGATGCGCGCACAATTCATGTTTGTGTAGGAATTGAAGAAAAAGCAACTGGTAATACAATATATATTTCATCCAAGCAAACTCTTTACATTCAAAATATCAATGAACGCTCTAAAGAGTTTTTAGTTAAAGGTTTGTTCAAAGAATTTTATAATTATTTATAGAAAAACAAAGTTCGCTTTTTTTAGATCATCAATCATCCAGATTCATCAAATAATATTTTTCATGATTTTGTATTTGCAAAAGAATAAAAAAGAAGAATAAAACATTACGATAAATTTTTTTTTAATTCTATGTGAGACTAACGGTGAAATATTTCATCCGTAGAATAATATATGAATAACACGAGTTTAATAACTGACTGGTAAAAGCAGTCGAAAGAAATCGTCTTTTCAAGATTCATAGAAAATTTCTTCAAAGTTAAGGTTGATCTTTGGATGAAGAAGAAAATTTTATTAATATCGATATGTTATCTGTATAACAAGATGTATATATGGTAGTTAGTTAGATAATTTAACTGAGATTGAAATATATATAAATAAGAAAATAATATTTAAGCCTATTTTTTTATTTACAGAGAAAAAGAATGAATTGGTATTTATGTGTCGTTATTTCAAATATGAGAGATAATCGACATTAGTACGAAATAGAAGAGAAAATTTTGAATGATTAAAAATATGATTATTTTAACAAGTAACGCTCGTCTGGACACTCGCTCAGCTCTTTCTCGTAGAACCAATACGTCTTCACTACCAGTAAACGATATTTAAAAAATCTCCAAACTGACTTCAGCTTTGAATTGCATGATCTTCCTAATCGTTTGGTCAACCTTTATAAACAAATTCGTTTTATATCTTTACCTAATTTTTGGACCAATCAGTGAAGTGCGGACACACCATCAATCAGACAAGTTATGTTCACTAAACTCTTCTCTACGAGAAAGAGAATTCGAAATATCACAAGTTTAAGTTTTTGATTGACGTTATCATGAAAACTGTTCATTTGTTTCTGGAATATCGACGTTTTGTTGTATTGACGATAACGATTCTGTTGGTTGATTTCCAGTATTACTACAAGGGTTTTGTGTTATCTACAATATAACAAGTAACGCTCGTCCGTACACTCGCTTAGCTCTTTCTCGTAGAAATGCACCCTCTTCGTATTTACTGGAAAAACAATTGAAAACCTTGCTCTCGTTTGTTGTTCCTTACTCTTAGCAAATACTCGCATCCTATTCAGCGGTAAACGCAGATCAAAACATATTAGAGGTGTCGGCATCAGTGACTTATCGAACTAGTCTTTAATGAATAAGTGAAGTGTTAGTATTCTTATATGCAAGAAAGCCAGCCGATTATGGTTGCCATGCTCTGCACTATAACCAAGGAAACATTTGGATTCCTATAAAAAAGCATTACCCAAAAAGTGGATTTCTATCAGTCCACACCACTTTTTCCAATTCAAACTCCGCTCCCCTCGCCTCCCTTCAGTAGTCTGAGCAAATATGGCCCACATTCGAAGTCCCAGCATCGAAATATCTCAACAACTGTCTTTTCCTAAAAAACGGTTTTCGATGTTTTCTTGATCTTTCACCCACACCCACCAGACCTCAGATTTGAAGTCCCAGCATCGAAATATCTCAAGAAATGTCTTTTTCGAAAAAATGGTTTTCGATGTTTTTTTGACTCTGCGGACACACAATCAATCAAGCAAGCAGACATTTTATATTTGCAAGGCTCTTCTCTACGAGAAAGAGAAAAACGTTGAAAAAATTCTATATTATTATACGTAACTCAATTTTGAAATTAGAATAATAAAATATATGTATACTGTAGTTGGCATGTAAATTCAATGAAATAGAACGTGTCAGAGTAGGTTTGAGTGTGCGTATCATATTTATATCGTATTCATACGCACACTCACCCATACCCACACCCTCAAGAACCATAGACGACTAACATATGTGAGGGGAACAGAAAAGAAAAGATATATATGTGCAAGAGAGAAAGAGAAGATATATGTGCCTAACGAGAGGATGATGTACATCAACGTCTAACAATATTATAAACGCTACTAATTCTTTGTTTATATATTCATGCTTCATTGAATTTTTCTTTTTCGTTCATGTAAAAAAATCGAGACGTGAAGCAGGTCAGCTCATTATATTTTGTATATGATATTTTTAAGCTACCATGTAAAATAATATTCCGCTGTAGCTTAATCAATATTTTAAGGCTCATAAATTGTTATTCAAAGGAGATTACGAACGAAGAGTTGGATTCGATGCTGTCAAAACAAAGATAAACTTGTGACGGATTCTGATTCGTCCATCATTTGTCTCTTTGTTCTCTTCGTATGCATCTATAAATAGCTATGTAAATGTATTGTAGGTCACTTAGTCGGTCAGCCACTTCTAATACACTTTCCTTTTCTCTCCTGTTCATCTTGTTTTCTTTCTTTAAATATATGATAGAATAGAAGATGAACATTAACATTTCTGTCATAAATCCGAACTGTTTTTTTCTCTATTTTAGATTGATAAAATTAGACGAATATTTGAATTGCACAATACTTCTGATCTTCAGAAATAATACTTGTTACAAAATGAAACATATAATGTTATTATTCACGCTAATCCAACAACTATAAGTAATTTATTATTCTAAGAGAGGATCCGCGAAACGAGAAGGTGCTCGAAGAAAAGAACTATTTTTCCTATTTTATTAATTTAAATGAAACCACACACACACAAAATAAATTTTATTTAATTTAATTGATATAGGTAATTTCCAGTATTACTTGCTAAAGTGGAACGTTTATAACTGCGGTGATGTTTTCATGTGACAATCTCAAAGCAAAAATTTCTCTGGATATAGCCATTGTGGGAGCTGGTATTGGAGGCCTTTCCGCAGCTTTGGTAGGTCTTTCAATAAATGCTTCATATTTTTGCTATCATGATTAAAATAGGCTTGTAATAGAGCTGGTATGTCGGTGACGATCTATGAAGGTGTATCCGAACTAAAAGAGGTCAGTCTGTCTTATTATATGGTTTATATTTTCTATTCGTTTTTTGATTTACAATATGATAGATTGGTGCAGGTATTCAACTTGGACCTAATATGTTTCGAATCTTGCGTCATTGGGGAATCTACGATCCGGTACATCTCAAAGGTGTTACTCTTAAAGAACTTTCGCTTCGACGATATGCTGACGATAGCGAACTCTCTCGAATATCTTTGAGTAACGCTGAAAAAGTCTATGGCGCTTCAATGGTGACTGTTCATCGAGCTGATATTCAAAAAGTCCTGAGAGAAGAAGTTGAAGCTGCACGTATTCATATCGAATTAGGATCGCGTGTTCAAGACATCGATTTCAAGAACACTCGTATAAAAATTGAACATTGTTCTAATTGGATCAAGAAAGATGTGATCATTGCAGCGGATGGTATCAAATCCATTAGTCGCAAGAAAATATTAATGATGCATGGAAGAAAAGACAGAATAAGGGACACAGGCGATGCAGCATGGAGAATTCTAATTCCTGCTGAGCAAATATATAAAAGTAAAGATATTGATCTGATCGAAATGCTTGACAATCAAATTGCATTTCGATGGATAGGTCCTGATGGACATATTGTTACCTATCCAATTCGTAATAACAGATTTCTTAATGTGGTTTTTATTCATTCTAAAAAGCCATCTGTACATGAATCGTGGACGAACAAATCAGATAAGAAAGAAATAGTCAAATTTTATAAAGATTGGACACCTCGAATCAAGAAATTACTTGATTACGTACCAGACGGAGAAATAATAGAATGGAATCTGTACGATTGTAATCCATTAATTACATGGATTGAAGGCAATGTGGCACTCTTAGGTGACGCAGCACATCCAATGCTACCATATATTGCTCAAGGCGCAGCTCAAGCTGTGGAAGATGCAGCTGTTCTAGCCATCTCGCTCGCTATGATCGACAACAAAAATCAAATTAATACAGCATTAAAAGTATATGAACTATTACGCAAAGAACGAGCTGAGATCATACAGACTTCTGCAGTTCATATGCGTCAAACTTTACATCTACATGATGGAAAACAGCAAGAAGAGCGAGATGATCTGATACGCAATAAAGGCAAAGGAGATTGCAATCCTGATCTGTTGTCGGATGAATCATTTGAAGCATGGTGTTGGGTAAGAGTGTTTTTGTTTTTTTCATAAGTCCTATTTAGTATCAAACATAGGGAACGGATGTACAACAACAAGCAATCACCATGTGGAATCAGCTTGTAGAACTTATTTTGAAAGGCGAACAAATCCAATCATCTCCTGATACAAAAGAACTACCATGGTTGAAACTATTGAAAAAATGGCAACTGATCCAAAATGATCAAGCAACAACACGTAATTCTACACTCTCAAGATTTAACTAATCATTTCAAGTTTCATTTAAACCTGCAAAACTCTTACTATTCTTCGAATTACTTTTCTGTTGAACAATGCGATTATTTCTGTAATCCAATAATATAAATAGTTTTATTATTATCAATAAAAATCTCGATTAAGTAGTTGATTGTCTTTAGACATATTTTGTCAAATGTATAATTAATCAGTTCGGAGCACCATCATTTGCACTACCAACTATATGAGCATGTGTGATAAGTAACCCAAATATTCAGTTACATGAAATTAACTAATAAAATAAATGTTTTGAACAAATAAAGAAAAATATGAAATTATTTTATAATGTGACTTAGTTGATGTTGTGCTACCGAAAACAATTCTATCAGTTATACCAACTTATTAACAAGAGTATACATTTTTTGTGAAGAAAAAAATGATGGAAACAATTATACACATCTATAATTTTGAGGTATGGGTATGATTTTGTGAGTGAGATATCGGTCTATCAGTCACATTTTCACCCACACCCTCAAGATTCTTTACTAGAATTCAATTTTGTTGGCAACGTTGTATTGGAAGTACCTATAGTTCGGTCGAAGTGCTTTGATTACATGGATATAAATGTTCTTTACTGTGTGAATAAGATTCGTCATAAATAAACTCACTCGATGCAGAATTTATTTTTCTATTGGAATCTACATGAACTTCGAAAATACTTAAACTTTTTGTAATCGATAAATATCAAATCCTTTCTCGATTTTATTGTATTAATAGAAATAGAAATATCTTTGCTTTTCTCCCTTGTATATAATGCGATGTATTTTTTTTTCGTTGTCACTGATAGTCAATCTTTTTTCTTTATGTTTGTCTTCTACATTAATATGATAGATGAAGAAAAAAGAATACGGTATAATATTTGAAAGTCAAACTTTTATGATGATGTACTGCATACATTATTAATAGGTTGTGATATGATGTAAATAAATAAGAACGCATAAAAATTCTTCTTTTTTTTTTCTTCATCCTCAGGTAATTATGCTATAAAAAAAGAAACGCGTGGGTGTTTATATGGTTACTTTTATTCTTTTTGTGATAAATGTGCGTATTCTTATGCAATACATATAAACTTCACTTGGAAAAAACCTATCCTACTCTGACATATAAAAGGAAAGCGTTTGTACATACATACTTGTAGACTACTTGCAAAAATAAATTGAGAAATGAATACAATTATGATTATTTGTGTTTTGCTTACTATTAGTGTTTCTTTTTGTATCAATGAAGCAGAATCGAGAAAAGATCTTGGCCCAGTAATCGGTATCGATCTCGGAACTACTTATTCATGTGTTGGTGTTTTTAAAAATTGTCATGTTGAAATAATTGAAAATGATCAAGGAAATAGAATTACACCATCTTGTGTTGCTTTTACACGTGATGGTGTACGATTAATTGGTGATGCTGCTAAAAATATTCTCACATCAAATCCTGAAAGTATATTTTCATTTCTGACTTTTACTTTTTAATATATATTTTGTTCCTTAGGTACAATATTTCATATTAAACGAATTATTGGACGTACATTTAATGATTCATCTGTACAAGAAGATATTAAAATTTTTCCATTTTCAGTTATAAAAGAAAAGAATAAACCAGTTGTAAAAGTTGATATTGGATATGGTATTAAATTATTTACTCCAGAAGAAATTTCTGCAATGATACTTGGTAAAATGCGTGATATTGCTGTAAGTTTTCTTTCAATATCACAAAGAAAAATATATCTCTCGATTATTATAGGAAGGATATCTTGGTATGAAAGTGAAAAATGCTGTTGTTACTGTACCTGCATATTTTAGTAATGCACAACGACAGGCAACTAAAGATGCTGGTACTATTGCTGGTTTGAATGTTATACGAATTATTAATGAACCAACAGCAGCAGCTATTGCATATGGACTTGATAAAACGCAGAAGTGGGAAGGTGTAAGAAATATTCTTGTGTTCGATTTAGGTGGTGGAACATTTGATGTTTCACTTTTGACAATTGACAATGGTGTAGTCGAAGTACTCGCTACTAATGGTGATACACATTTAGGTGAGTATTTTCGTTATTCTTTTCTAAAACCAATTATATTATCCTCGTTTATTTTATAGGTGGTGGAGATTTTGATGAACGTGTTATAGAACATTTTATAAAAATAATCAAAACGAAAAAAGGCATAGATATAAGAAAAAATATTCATGCTGTAGAAAAAATTCGTCGTGAAGTTGAAAAAGCAAAACGAATATTATCGTATGGACAACAAACAAGAGTTGAAATTGAATCATTGATTTCTAACACTGAAGATTTTAGTGAAATATTGACACGTGCAAAATTTGAAGAGCTCAATATTGATTTATTTCGCTCGACATTGAAACCAGTAGAAAATGTTCTAGCAGATGCCAACTTAAAAATATCTGATATTGCTGAAGTTATTCTCGTCGGTGGATCAACCCGAATACCAAAAATACGACAAATTCTTAAAGAATTTTTCAATGGAAAAGAACCATCACGTGGTATCAATCCAGATGAAGCAGTTGGTGAGTGACAAATAAATACAAAGAAAAGATTAATTATTTCTTTAATCTCTAATATTTTCATGTAGCTTATGGTGCAGCTATACAAGGAGCTATACTCTCAGGTGATGAATGTGTCGATAGTGATATTCTTATTATCGATGTCAATCCATTTACACTGGGTATTGAGATCGAAGGTGGGGTGATGTCAAAAATTATTCCACGCAACACTCGTATTCCAGTGACAGAGAGAAAACCTTTTACAACTACTGTCGACAATCAAACTGTAGTCAATATTCAAATTTTCGAAGGTGAACAATCAATGACCAAAGATAATCATTTTTTAGGTAATTTCGATCTCACTGCTATTCCATCTGCACCACGAGGTTCTGCACAAATTGATGTTACTTTTGATATTGATGTCAATGGAATTCTTAGTGTGAGTGTTGAATATCGATGATATACAAAAAATTATATTTGCTATTTTTGTTTTAGGTTACTGCCGAAGAAAAATCTACAGGTAGTAAGAAAAGCGTTGTAATCAATTCAAAAACAAATCGATTATCAAGCGAACAAATTGATCGCATGGTTAGAGTTGCTGAAATTTTTTCAGAAGAAGACAAAGTAGTTGCACGACAAATAAATGCTAAGAATGAACTTGAATCGTAAATATTCTATTCAAATAATTATAAAAAATAAAATGAATTCATTGTCATGCTTTTTTTTCCTAGGTATACTTATTCAATAAGAACTCAATTGAGAGATACAAATTCACTCTTCAACGAGTTATCATCGAAAGAAAAGACAACAATTACAGATGCTGTTGAAAATCAAATCAAATGGCTTGACACCAATCCTACTGTCAAAATCGATGAATTTATTAAACGTAAAAAACAACTTGAAGCAATTGTGATGCAAATGTTGAGCAGATTCGAAGGACACAATTCAAATAATACTCGATGGCAATCAAGCTCAAATGAAGGTGAATTGTGAGAAAATATTGGACTGTTCATTATTTCTTTTTATTTCTATTCTATTAGAAAAAGTAATATGACTGTATGCATTATTCTCTTCTTCTTTTTGCGTTCTATTTACTAATATTTAAACTAGAGTGAGAGTATAACACTTAACGTTATATTTGATTTCTTCGACTGAAAATACGTCATCTATGTCATTAAAATCGCCGGAAGTGAATCATTTATGATAATGTAGACAAAAGTAATTTTTCTACTTTACAAGATTGAATAAAAATTTATATTGAAACCAGAAGGACAAGTACTTATTTATAAAAACATCATACTAAAAACAGATCTGTTAAAGGTGTGGATGTATCATATATATCCCACTCACATTCTCTATGATACATTTATAATCACTATTAAAATACGATTACAGGTCTAGACAAATTAGTCACACATATTGTTACTACTAATTCAACCATTTGAAAATCATCATTACCTAATTTCGTAACTAATCACATATTTCGTATTGATAAATGTAAGATGACTATGATCAAACACTATTAGCGAAAGCTCGTAAAATGGTGAACGTTTTCTAAAAAGTATTAAACATATCATAAAAGCAAATGATGAATCAAATAACCACAAAATCTTGCAAATCGTTCATGGAAAACTAACACAAGCAACTAATACGTTGTTCAATAACAATGAAGTTAGATTTAAAACATAGACAGATTTCGAAAGCACATTTACAAATCTGTATTTTTCATCAACAATGATTCAACACTTAACGAGTTAACCAAGTTACAGATGAATAATGATCATCTACTCACATTCTAGTCAATATTTAAAGAACTTGTTACACAGTTCGTAGGGTTAGCAAGAAATTTGTAATTAAATTCAACTCTATTCTATTCTGATTGTTGTTGTTGTTATCAAAATGTATAATTTTCTTGTTATTCAATAAATTGTTCTCCTACTCACTCTTTATATACGACCAATTTCTTCTTCAACTAATTGGTGTTCGACCAATTATTGTAGGCTACACGCATACATATATTTATTCTGTAACATCAAATTTATGCTTATCAATAGATGATAGTTTATAAGAAAGAAAAAATTATATTGTTTTTTTTGCAAATAAATATTACAAATTAATTTTCATGCCTTTTCTATAGGATAAAACTATGTGTATTACAGATATTAATGAGAAATATTATTGAAATATATAAATGAAATTAATAGTGCGATACATGCAACATTTATTTTTATGCGTTGTTATTCATCCGAAACGCTTTTTTTATATTAGATCGATATAACTTTAACAACAAGCTACTAATACAAAAAGAGAGTAATGATTATATAAATTTTTTGATCATTAAAGGACGACATATTTTTCAGAGTTTTTTTCAACGAAACTAGAGAGACTAGTATAAACATCATGAGTCACGGTGTTTATATCTTGAGGACGTGGATGAAATAGGTATGATATATCAACACCCACATCACTCTTTTGTTTTTTCCTATTGAATCGCTCGATATGATGATGATAGAAGAAAGTTCTTTTTTAATTCTTTCTGTCTTTCTTTCTTCTCCATTCATCAGAAGTTTCAATGTATGAGTCATTGCACAATGACAACGAGTATTCTTTCTCTATCGACTTTTGAAATCAATAATATTAAGTATTTTGAAATATTTCTTCTCCTTATCATACATTTAACGACTCTGTTATTTCTCATTGATTTTACTCTGTTGTATCAGAAAGCTTGGACGAAAAGTAAAACAATTACGAGAACAGACTACTTAATAGAAAGTAGGTTAAGTTGTGAATAAGTATAGTTTATTTTGTAGTCTAGTATATAATTATTGGAAATATCTGATGTATCTTTAGTTTGAACAGAATTATTTTCTCTATTTAGAACAAACAGGCAAACAAGAAGGAAAGCCATAGAACAGACTTAGTTTTTATTATTAAAATCAGCTATTTTTTGACTTACTGATCAAGTATACAATGACACCTATGGTTATCGATCAAAAACAAACACAAGTTAACAATAGTAATATTCTCAATGATACTAAACAAGATTTACTAACTGTATATGATATATATACTAAATTCAAAAAGAATATAATACTGTTTATTGTTAGTGGTTTAGGATTTTTATCAAATTTCAATGAACTAGTTTATGTTCCAGCATTACCTATGATAGTTCAGGATCTACATACAACAGAAACATTAGGTTTATTAACAGTCAGTGTATATGTACTTGGAAGTTGTTTTGGCGGACTTATTTGGGGAATGTTAAGTGATTATTATGGACGTAGATCAATCATGTTACTTGGACTTTGTGGATTTTTATTATCTGTGGGTGGTTCTTACTTTTTATCAAATATATATATATTTTTAGTATTTCGTGTATTACAAGGAGTTTTTATCTGTGTACCACTAATTGTTGGTCAAGCAACAATAGCTGATATATATCAACCAAACCAACGAGGACGAGCTATCGCTTTCTTCTATGCATTTTATTGCACGGGGTCAATAGTTGGCCCAATCATCGGTGGACAGTTGTCTTATCATTTTGGTTGGAGATCTATATTGATTGTAGTAGAAATTCTTGCAATTGTTTTATTTATCCTTTATGTCGTACTCGTACCTGAAACACAGCAGTATATAATTGTATGCAAATACCACAAAACAGGAACAAAGCTACTTGAGTATGACTCACTTGTGAAGCCAAAACTATAAAATCCATGTTTAGCATTGAGATACTTGAAAGAGACAACAATTCTACCATATGTCTTTGTTTTAGCACTAGGATATATGTCAATGAATGTTGCACATGTTTATTTTTCTACTGAATTATCGAAAGCACCTTATGACTACAAGTCTAACATTATGGGTATATTATATCTTCCAGGATCAATTGCAGAATTTTCAGGTAGTATTATCGGTGGTATTCTATCTGATTATGCAGCAGTTAGATATATGGAAACATTAGGAATTGATGAAGGACATGTTGTGCCTGCATTATTATTTTCTGTACTAACACCTATTGGTCTAATCGTTTATGGATGGTCATTTCAGTATGGTGTACATGTCTCACTGCCGGTCATGGGGTCAGTTATCTGTTATTTTGGTCAAACAGGTACTCGACCTGGCATCTATTCATTCTATACAATCAAATATCAACAACATTCAGCCAGTGTTATAGCAGCAAATAATTTTGTACAATTGTTATTAACATCGATTATGCTAACATTTACAGCGATCATTGTCGAATCGATTGGTAATGGACTTTATTTTACAACTATGGCTGTGGGTAATATATTAGCGACAATTGTACCAGCGATAATTATTTCAAGAAAAATTAGATTATCATCTGATATTTGTGAAAAGATCCCTAGTCAAAGTACTCCTCTAATAAGTACTGATGCTACACAATACCACGAATAATCATGAGCACATCTATATTTTATTCAATATTGTTACAATACATAAAGACTTTTTATATAAGTGATTATCTAATTAGAAGAGTGAATGTATGTGTAGAGGGTGTGGGTATATATATCGTCTTTATTCACATTCATCCCACACCCACACCTGTATAATCTCTTTCAATCGATATTGAGCTTTAATTTGCATGGAATATATTTTCAAATAGCTAAAAAATACATTTACGTGATTAAAAACAATGTTCATCAATCTATTTTTGATTTTTGTCTTCGCTTACAACATTTAAAACAGATGTATAAGGAGATTGTTCCCGGTAAGACAATGAATACAAACAGTAGATCAAACATATATCGTTGATAAAATGGTAATGTACTTGAAAATGGTTCAAAACGATCTAGATCACCACCGAGATTAACAAAAAACTCTATTTCTTTTACGGCTTGCTTCACACCACCAGCATATTTCATTTCCAATGACATGCGTCCAGCTGCTTCTTTGTATAATACATTTGACCACATAGCTAATAATTTATTTGTCACGCTCGCAGCTGTGAAAGTATATTTAGCAAAGTCATAAGGTTTTATCAAAGATTGCCAGAGAGATGGTGGTACGAACAATGATTGTCCAACATCTAGATTATCGATGGCGATTGCATTAGAGAACTGATCTAAACAGAAAGGCATGCATAGTAAAGGTTTGCTGTAGTATAATGCTTCTAAAGCAGAGCCCATTCCACAATGACTTAAGAAGATTTTGATTTGATTCTGTTGTAAAATCCATTTCTGTTGTACAAATCCATTTTCGATTCTCACTCGATCTTCATTTTTCAAGATTTTATGCAATTCATCGTTGTTTAAATTCGTTAATACCGTTTGATATGTGTCATAATTTACATTGCGAAATGCCAATAGTATAGAACTGTCATCTTCTTCCAGAAGAAAATTAGCCAAACCATTAATTAAATTATACATACGCTCATAGGGAATAATAGAAGTACTACCAAAAGCACTGTACACAATCGTGCCATCTGGTTTTGACTGAATCCATCTAGTAAGATCGTTGTTAATATTAGTAATCGGTATTTCATCTATAAATGCGCCTAGATATTTACTATAATGATGTGAATCTGATGGTGTATAGAACGATGCCGGCATACTGATGAGATTTAAGCTCTTTGATTTTGAAGACAAAAGATTCTTTAATGTAAAAATATCTTCAAATTCTCCGGGTATTTGTGGTAGAAAGTGAAATAATTTGTACAATGCCGGAATCAGTTTTGGTACAACCTTCGTTATGATACGCATACTGAAAAGTACATTGTAAATTCGGTATCGAAACTGAGTTAAGTCTTTGGATGTTAGCAGTGAGAAGGTATTTGGTAGATTAAAATCTAACATATCAGGGTCCAATGCCGGACTCTGGATTACACAAGGTGTCTTGATTCTATTACACAAGAGAGAAACTCCAAAGACGAATTTACCAGCTACAATTACATCAAAACGTTCATGCATCAAAATATCGATTATTTTGCTCAATAAGGGTATGATCCTCTCACCAAACACTGGTACTATGTCGGGAACTGCATCTAATAATGAACGATTAGTCATAGCAAGCATGATTTCCTGCTCACGATTTTTCTCGTCCAACAATGCATGAAGAGAATCATTCGTATAGATTGTACGAAATGAAGGAGAAGAATAAGAATTCAAGTCGATATAAGCTTGAGTCAATTGATCAGTAAGAAACGTAATATTATGATTTTTGAATGCTTTTGCCAATTCGAAAACAGGAATGACATGTCCTGCACCTCCATCACTGATGAATAAACAATTTAAGCAAAATGATTGAGAAATCATTGTTAATAACCAAATAAACATCACATAATTTAGCATCATAGTAATTAATGATTCTAAACAGTTTTTTTTATTGAAAGTCGCAAGAAAAGAAAAAATCCAATGTATGCAAGTTTACTTTTCTGTTTACCGTTTATAAGGAGGCATGCACGATATGTATGACTCACACGAGTCGAATGTGCGTATTCAGCGTATTCAACGTATTCAAAGTACGATGCAAAACGCAGGACGCTGTTAGAGGTTACGAACACATGGTTGTTATTGAATGATTATACGTATGAATACATAAAGTATTATAAAGAACGGATGATGCTTTTCATAGATTATGTTTGCATATATTTGTCATTGAGTCATCATGGTTTTCTCTTCATACCTTTCATTGCATCGTCTGGTGACATCTTCTCGTCCATTTCATCATCTTCTTGTAAAGTATTTATAGTCGAAGATTTCACAATAAAATCTTGAAGGTAAGTGAAATCGTTCGGCTGCCTATGAATGACTCTATTATATATATTCTATCTAACTCAAAACTATTATTTTTTCCATAATTTTTGTTTTTTATTACAACATAGAAAAAAGTTTATAAATAAGACAAATTTGCAAACACAATCAATCATAGTGACAATAGATCATATATTAACTGTGTGTAGATAATATTGATTCAGGAAGATGAATTACTTCCAAAGGTAAATCGAGTGCACTAACTCCAGATATTTTACTAATGTATGCTCGAGCGAGTGCCTGTATTTGTTCCAATGAAACTGATGGTGGTGCAAATAAATCAAAATAGCAAGTACTCCCAGTTCGTCCGTTTTGAAGATAAGTATGTATTCTTAAACCTATTATTTGTGGATGTTGATCGATGTAGAGTATTTGTACACTTTCTAATGTATGTTGTCGAAATGAAACAAAATATAATTTATCAATTATTAAACCATTTTCATGTAAAATAATCTGACCATATTGACGATTCATCAATCGTTCATAGGTTGAACGTCGACAACAGAAACATGATAATGGATCTATTTCTATCCATATTCGATTTGGACCATGTATATAATTCAAATATCGTACCCATTGTTCGCCATCCAGTCGCCATAAAACTGGCTGCTGTGTATTAACGCTAAAATTTATATCCTCAAATTGTTGTTTTGTACCATAATAATTAACATAGTGACCCACCAACACAAAGATAATGCCATTACCCATTAGACTTCCACCAAAAAGGAGATATAGTAAATCTGCTGATGAGCAGTTATAAGAATAAGTACTGCATTTTGGTAGAACAAGACCTATGATTAATAATACTAAACCAATTAAGAAGAATATTCCAGATACGATATAGAAATACATCATTCGTTCGCGTAAACGTTTCTTATGCAAATCGATTAATTCATTTATTGAATGAGAATCTAGAGCATGATTCGCTGTTGGACTAAACCTTGATTCAATATTTGATGACAATAAATTCTATAACAGACATTTAAAATAAAGCAAGAGAAACTGATCTGTAATTTTCATTCGAGATATTAATTGATACTTACATTTGATTGTTTATTATTAAAATAGATTGAAGTATCATTATTGGTAAATGTTGGTTGTTCATTTGACTGCAAATTCATTGTGCTAAATTAAAATAATGTACTTGTTAACATCTTATATATTACTTAGTTCTTATCAAATATGGACACTGTCCTTAATGATTAAAAATGAAAAAGTAGTCGTATTTCATATAACATAAGTATGAATTAAAACTTTTCCTAAAGCTGGAATGATATAGAGAATATCTCTCTCTTTCTCTGTGAGTGACGTAAAAAATTACAAAGACATAATGAAAGAAAAAACGAATAGTTTACATTGTAAATGTTGACTTTGTCGCTCTCCATATAGCTGAGATTGAATTCATATTTCAAGACTTTCACAAACTAAAATTTACAAAAAATAATCTTCTTCAATTCTCTTACGGTTCATCTATACGTCGACTAACGTCTGACTTTTCTCAATGTTGAAACAAGTCAACTAAAACAAAAGATCACCAAAAATACAAGAAAGTTATGTCCTCTTAAATAATCTGTTTAGTGTAAAATATTTTCAAGAGAAAAATATATATATATTGATCAAAAGGACTAACTCGCTTCCTTTGTCAAGCTTGATTTTATGAAAAAATATTGTCGGATGTGAGTCGTTATTGTCTATGAATATAAATTTTTTATAAGTCGGATGTTGATTACTTGAATATGTTAAGTAATCCGGAAAAGGAATAAATCATTTCAAAAGGATTTGTCGTGTGTGTGGATGAAAATGTTGGTTTGAAAGAAGAGTAGTCCGTACCTATACGTCAACACCTACACTCACTCTCACCCCAACCACTTCTAGTGGCTTCAAAGAAATAAGCTCGTCAGATTGTCTCTAATATTTCTACAGCTTTTACTTGTTATGTCTTGTATCATTAATAAACTTCGAGTAGAATTTTTCCGGATTACTTGACATCACCGATTACTTAATTAACTATCGAAACCAGCGCTTTTCAAAGGAAATAAAATGTATTCTAAAAGAAAACCTGTTAGGATAAAATGTTTTACTGTGTAAGATTTATTTTAAAAAAATTAACAATTATTACAATATCTGTTAGCTGGAATTCTTTGTGTTTAAATCTATATTATTTATTCCCTGATTGAATTTAATGAAAAAACGGTATATACCAGAGGGCAAAATCTCACCATTGAATAGTTAGTTTTAAAATAATTGTTCATATTAACCAAGTTATCTTCAATGAGAATACAGTTCTTTTTATCGCTATTAGAATTGAAACTTATTGTGTTCATTTTAATAACCATGACGATTACTTCAGAGATATGTGGAGTATATCAAACATTACTACAAAAAGTTTAGCTAAAGAAAACATTATCTTGAGATATTAACATTTCTATGAAATATTATGCCTATGAGCATCTTGTGCACTTAATTGAAGATCAATAAGTATTGTGTAAATGATATAGAAGACCAATCACTTATTTTTGTTGATTTAGGAGAAGTAAATGATTTTAATTGAGCTGTTTTTTCTTGAAATTATAGTATCGGAAATATAAACTATACTCTTACTCTCATTCATTTTTTTTTGAAGATCACTAGTCAATAAATCCTACAAAATCCTACTATTTCATATATTCCTATCGTCTAAATTTATTATTAATATGTTCTGCTATTGCAGTGATCTTTCGGCAATATTTTGATGACTAATAATATAGTCATAGTAGAACTTCATACATTTCTAAATATATTTAATATAGTTAAAACGCTTTGCTCACATAGATTTTTTTTCACAAATCATGTTCTTATGTTGATTAGAGCATTCTATTTCGAAGATTTTGTTGATATTTACAGCAGATAATAGTTTACGCATGGTAGAATTGTTTTAAAACTCGATGTAAAAGGAAGATAAGCAGTTTGTTGCTTCGATCTCAATGTTGTTTTTTTGTTGCAAATATTTTGCATTGACGCGTCACAATGCATGTAATTGAATTATTCTCTGTATGTGGATTATCTATTGAATGCTTCTGCCACTATTTATGTGATAAAAATCGCTCTAATTGAGCGATATCTCTGGTCACAGTTCTGCCAATCTTCGATCAGGATTCAGCTCTGAACTGTTCAAAAATGAATATTTCCATAGCTCACAAGAAAATGTGACCTTAATTATGATTTCGACAAGAAATCATATGGATTAAATTAGGATCTTTACAGGGTGTGGGTATTGATATTAGGTAGAGATCGCACTTACACCCAGGTACTTTAGTTCATAAATTGAATTATGAATTATAATATCAAGTTCGAAACCTGTCAATGAACTGATTCACGTTTATTTTTATATTCATAATTTGTTCCTCTTCAAAATTCTAGGATGAATAATATATGTTATTTTCGAATAAATCGACAATTATTTAGGACGGAAAAGAAGTTTAGTGAGTAAAACGAAACAACTAATTCATGTGATTTCTAATCGTATGCTTATTGAACACTAAACTGTTGATATTGAAATAGTTGAATTGAATATGTTCTTACTTCTGAGAATAAGATAAAATAGTTTTATAAAATCATTTGAATTATTTTTGATTGTTAAATATTGAATATTTATTCATTTAATTTCATTATTTTCTTCTATTTATTAATATAACAGAAAAATTATTCAATTCGTTTGTCATCTTTTATCATTTTAATTAAATTAAATTCGATGAATCATTTTGTTAACTAATAAAACTTTATAAAATATAATTTATTTAGATTTTAGAAATAAACTTTCATTAATTAAGAATCTTTTTCTTTTGTTTTTCGATTATTTCAAAATTTTCCTATTGATAAAAAGAAGTTTTATTTAAATAATCAAGAAATTGTTTATTAAACAACTAAAATTTTCAATTTTTTCTCATCAGTTTTGATTTTTTAATAGAATAAAACAAATTTCATCTTTTCTTCATTTTTCTAATTGTTATTTTATTTTATTTTTAATATTTAAACGTAAAACTAGTTTTTCCATTTTAACACATTCCATTCTCATTCATTTATCTTTTTTTTACTTCTATCTTCCCTTTCTCTCAGTAAATTGAAAAATCAAAAAAATAAATCTCATAAAATTTCTATTTAGAAGTTTTTTTTATTAATTTAAATTTTTTTTCAGTTTAGATAATATTTTATTTGATTCATTCAACAAAAATTCTATTCGAGGTATTTTATTTAATTTTGTTCTGTTAATTTAAAATTAAAATCAATAAATATTTATTTACTTTTTTTTTAAAAAGTAAAAACAAGTTTATTTATTTTATTAAAAAGAACTTTTTAATTTATTTTCTTCAAGATTTTTCATAAAGTAATGTTTTTTATTTATTTCAAAAATGAAAATCTTAATTTTAAAAAAAGAAATTAAAAATATTTTTAGTGTCACATTTTTTCATATTTTTGGATTCGATGATTCCATTTATCAGCAACATAAAGATTTTCTTCATTATCAAATGATAAACCTACGGGACCATGCAATTGGTTTGGCTGATTTTCATAACCATTTCCATCCACAACAATTTCACCTTCTTTATCTTCTTCACACCAACGCATTACTCGATTATTCCCGTAATCTGCTACATAAATATGACCCGAATGATCAACAATCACTCCACAAGGACAACTCAATTGTTTGAGACTATCTCCGTTACCATTTCCACCAGAAACAATAATTCCTTCTTTTGCATCTTTTTTCCATTTCATTACACGATGATTGTCTGTATCTGATATATAAAGAGAATAATTGTGGTCAATAAAGATAAAAGTAGGAGAATTGAGTTGATTAAGATGATTTCCTTTACCATTTCCACCTGCAACTAATTCGCCTTTTGTATCTCCTTGTTTCTGTCGTCTTACTTGATGATTCTGCCAATCAGAAACATAAATAGATCCATTTTTATCGATTGCGAGACCATAGCAATCAATATTTGAAATAATAATTTCTCGATTAGTTTGATTATTATCAAAATATCGAATTACCTGTTTGTTTCCCCGTTCAGAAATAATGAAAGAATTATTTTTTTTATCAAATATTATATCTGTTGGACACTTCAATTGATTATTTTGATTTTCTTTTCCATTTCCACCTGCACTGATTTCACCAGTATTTGAGTTCAACTTCCATTTTACAATACGATGATTCTCAGAATCAGCAATATAAATTGATTTATTATCATCAACAAAGATCCCGTGAGGCCAGCAGAGGTGATTTAATTCGTGTCCTTTTCCATTTCCTTGAGCAACAGTAATTCCAAATTGTTTATATTGATTCTTTTTTGATTGAACTTGTTCTAAAATAAACGATTTTTTTTTTCAAAATCTTTTTCATTATTTTTAGATCATGAAAGGCCGAAAATAACAAAGAGAAACTTGTATTTGAATTTGTTTTCAATAAAATAAAATTTTCTTTTTGTTAAATTTAATTTTTTAATCGAACAAAATTAATTTCAAATAGTTTCTTAATTTCTTCAGATTTCTAATTAAAAATTGTTTATTTGATTTTTATAAAATTTTTATTTCACTATGTTAAATAAAATCGATGAAAAATTTCTTTTTTAGTACTAAATTAAGATACTTTTTTATTTGAAAAATTCTAAACTAAAAAGCTAAACTTGGCTTAAATTTAATCAACAGTTTAAAAACAACATAATCTTTTTTATTAGAATATTAAAAGAGATTTTTCAAATGAAAAAATCTAAAAAATCTATTTATTCTGAGAAATTTGTTTAGATTTAAATTTTTTATTAGAATCAATCTTTTGAAAAATATTAATCTTATAAAAATTGTTAATTGATTAATGTGTTGAAATAATATTTTGAATTAATTTTATTAAATTTTAACAAATATTTTAAAACCTGAAAAGAATCGATCTGATTTTATTTAAATAATTCGAGAAGAAAATGAAATTAATTTTAATTTTAAACCAAAATTATTTATTTAACAAAATTACTATTATTGTTATTGTTATTTAATGAAACATACCTTCTTTTATTTGAGAGTGAGTTAGATTTTCACATAATGCTGACATTGTATTCATTGACATGATCGCTGTACTGATTGTCAAGAGATTTGATTGATAAGAATCTTAATAAAAAGAAAATACAATGATTTTATTCGACAATAAAAGAAAAATAAATATTTGAAAAGACTAAAGAATATTAATATAATATTTTTGTTTTTGAAAAAATAAATAAAGAATTATTTCAACTATTAGAACTATTATTTCATTTTTTGAGAGAATTTAACGTAGAAAAAACGCAAAGTTTAACTTTTCTCATTTACAATTTTTTCAATACAAAAAAAACTGAGAGAACTTGTTCATATCTTTTTTTTAATATAAATCATAAACTTTTCTCTTGTCGGCACGCGTTTACACGCTAGAAAAAAAGGTTTTTTGAACGTTTACACGCTTTTTTGCAAAATCTTGTCTGCTTGGTGAATATCTCACTCTGCCATGCACACTGTCGCTTCTCCCACCTAAATGTCACTTAAAATAAGGTAGAAAGTAAGCCTAAACATCCTACTTTTTAGACCACGCAGACCTCATTACATCAGGCGGATGGTTTTGAGTGAACTTAAGATTCACTGGAGCTATCCAGCTCGATCTTCGACATCAACTTCTTTACTAATTCATACAAATGCTAATTATCTATTTCATTGTATTTTTATTTATGTCTCATGTTTCTTGTTAAGCTTGTTTTTAAATGAGTGTCGGATCAAATAAAATTATTCATAACAATTTAATAATTCAATTAATGTTATTCTATCCATATAGTTCTTTTCAGTCGTATAAATATAACAGAATTTGACTGTCAATTAACTGATGTAACGAAAAATCTTTCTAGTCACTGTTGGGTTGCATCGGCTTAAAAAATTCAACGCTTGATCTGATATGAGAAACTAGATAAACTTTAGTAAAGACTGGTCATTATAACACACTGATGAAAAAACTTGATCAAAGTTATCTATCAACGAGAACATCAAGTAAAATATAAACTCTCTATAATTTTGGAATATATATTTAAGTTTTATATTTTCTCAAATGATTCTGTAGTCACTCACAAATGACATAAGTTGTCCTACTTTTGCTACAGTAGTAATAACTTATTCGTTTATACTATGCACAAACAGTTAATAATATTGGATAAACACACTGCTTACCTTATATTACTGTGTATAGGATGTTTGATTTTGAATGTGAAAATAATAGTGATATTCGTTGATTATATGCCGACAGCTCCTCTGCATATCTCTTTTTTATTTTTCTGTTTTCGCGTTCGCTGTTCTTACCTATCTTTTGCATTTCATAAGTGTTATGGCTCATTAATCAAGCTATTATTCATGTTTTCGAACCAACCAGTGTTTGACGTCAATACGAAGAAAATATTTGGGCATGTCAGTAATAATAAAAAAAAATACGTATCAAAGCATTAATATTTTCAACAATAACAATCGAATATATACATGATGTCTGAAAATTCTTTAAACCAAGCTCAATATTCTGTAAATGTTTACAAATCTTATTTTTTATCAACAAGATTTCCATTGATAATGATCAAAAGTTCGATGTAAAGTGTAGACAAAACACAGTTCTTGACATTTTGTTTCTTATCAATATATCTTTGCAATTATTTTAAAGAGTAATTATTGTATAAAAATGAATATTCTGATCCAAATATGAAATAATCAATTCTATATTAAAAATAAATACCATTGAACTTATTATTATTTTCATTTAATTAAACAAAGATTTTTGAGATTTCGAATAAACAGAATATTTCAATGATTTCATTTTCATTTTTTCAAGAACAAAAAAAAAGATATTTCATAAATAATGAACTGAGTAAAATGATGATATAGTAAGAAAGAAGAACTATATAGATGTTTCTTTTATCCAATATTTAATATTTTCAAAATATTATTCTTGAGTTGATAGATGATATTGACAATAATTCGATTGGATATTATAGATTCTTATTATGATCAATATCATCTGTAAGTTTTTGATGTTAATACCTTTGAAATTTTATCAAATAATTTTTTATGATGTACTCAGATCGTTTGTCAGTACTTTTCTTTGTTGTCTATTTAGTTTAAGAATGATAATTTAATTTGTTTTCTAATAGTTCAGAATTAAAATCAATATTTAAATAACCAACTTTATTACTTCTCTCATGAACATATAACAGATTAAGATGTTTGATAAACTTTCTCTGCTATTCATTGTCTTGTATATTGATTATATTCTACAGATTTGAACTGTTTCATATATCAAAGTTTCCAACATCACCATTGTTTGAGTACTAATAAAATTTAAAATCATCGAATTCTTCTTGAAAAAAATCTTATATTTGATATTGTATAATATTTAGATAAAAGTTAATTATGATTTTGAATTGATTGCAAAAACATAAAAAAAGAACAATTATTGTTAAGAAATCTAATATAAATGTTCTTTCGAAATAGATCAAATAATATATAACTCAACTTCAAGTTTGTTACACTATACTTATTTATTTTGTGATGTATGAAATCTTTGTAAAACTTATAAAATCATCAAATATTAATGTAATTCGAAATATGAATAAATAGATTGTGTAGTTTTTATAAAGTATAATTATTTTTCTTATCTAATATATTTTTTATTTTTTAGTGTATTAAACCACTGTCAAATATACTTCTTATCAATTTTCATATACAATCTAGGCAGATAGAAATGAAGACACATAAAAACAGTTGTGTTCTATTTTATTCAAGTACTATGACACAATAAAAATATTGAAAGACAAATATTAATAGGAAGGATAAAAGTGGTGAAAAAGCAAACATTCGGCTAGTTTTAACATACATTATATATAGAAAGACAAGTTTTCATATTGTAAATTCAATGAAATATAATAATTTCCATTTTTATTAGAAATGAGATTAGTTAATATTTTTGTGGAATAAAGTTAGATGAATATACAATAGATGTACATTAAACATGAACACCTGTGTGTGTGTGGATGATGTGAGATGAATACAATATCTACACCCATACCCTCAAAATAGTCGAAAAATTTTTCAAAAAGTTGACGTTGTGGCATACGTGAACGTAAGTGATGAAATTTATTTCAGTTTAAGCATCTATAGTTTTTATCTCGACAGAAAAAGGAAAATAAGAACTTTTTCAAGGTTCCAATTGTGTTTAATCTAAATCATATGTTCATGTTTTCAATGACTTGATCGAAACACATCTATCTTACAACGATGCAAAAACATTTATCCAATCAAAAAGGAAGAATGAATAATTCAATGATTAGAGGTGTGGATGTGGATGGTTAACTCACTATCTACACCTACACGCATACCCACACCTAGGTCGTCACACATATCAAAATAACAAATCTGTTCTTACAAACGACATTATTCAAGTCATTATGAAAAGTAAGACAAAAAACACATAGGTCTATGAGAATATTACTCGAAACGTGCATAGTTTATGTTAAAAGCCACTAATTTAATTCTTGTGTTTGTCTATATCTATCTATTGCGCAAATCCATAGAGCTCCTTCTGTTTCTCCAACCAAAACTTTCTGTTCTTCTGGACAGTATGTAGCCAGTCATGAAGTTGTCGCTGTCCCTTCAAGGATTTCATTACACCTAGAATTAACTCATTCACACCTCTCTGTGGCTGTCGCACACCAGCATCTTCGTCCACGTACTCTTGACTATTGACCATGGTGCATAATCCCACCTGTCCATAATAGCACACTCCATCTTCTTCTTTCACATCTTTATTACCATCAACATATTTGACCAAAAGCTTCTTGAACTCGTTCAGTATAGCGTTCCGATGGATACCAGCAAACATGTTAGTAACAACTAGGACACAGTAAATATGTTGATGACAAATGCATTGTTCGAGTAGTTTATCAAGTTGCTTCAGCTTGGCGAAAGAGCCTGGCGAAGCACAATAGAACATACAAAGTGGTACTTGGCGTGATGAGACTGAATTAATATATGAATCAATATCTAGATCAGACCATTGTTGAATACCAGGTGTGTCCCAAAAATAGATATTGTCTATTTTGTAAAAATTTGTCGTTTGTGTGCATTGATCGAGTCCTATCGCACTATTCACTTTAGCTACGGGAAGACCACATAGAGCATTAATCAATGTTGATTTTCCAACTTTTGGAGCACCACATACTAATAGATGAATTTCATTGTCATCGCTAGAAGCAGTTGGTGTGAACAGCGTTGCAGCATTCTCAGTCAACAGATTGGGCGTTATATGTTGAGTTTTAGATGATGATAGGTTGTTGCCTTTGGATGAAAAAGAAAAGAAGCATTTATGTGAAATAGATTGCGCCATCCTTTAACTATTACACGAAACTGATACTTTCTCAAGTTGCGAATGAACAATCTTGTACAAAATTCGATCGCTATCCGCTTCAGTGTCTATAAGATCAAACTGATTGGAGCTATGCTATGCTGAACTTCAACTAAGCACATAGTTCGGATGCTTTATCATCTGGACTACATTCGAAATACACATTTTAAATTTAAGTACATGAAGTTTTTGATAAGAATCACACAAATGTTCTCATTCAGATACCTATAAATGAATACAAGCACCATACTAACTCTTTAGTTCCTGCATTTATTGCCAACAGTAGAAATGGCACATACACTCAAAACATAATTTTGATGCCTATGTTCTCACGACTGGAATGTATTAAAAACCAAGTTTGAAAGCTTGATACGCATTTCCGAATGAGACTCAACTGTTTTATCTCACGCACTCAGATGTGTTGTATGGAGAATCGGTGAAAGAATAGAGAGCTTATGAGAAAATAACGATTGAGTCTATTAACTTTAAAACAGCGACAGGAACAAATCTTTTAATGAGAGAGTCTCTGTTGTCTATCTCTTTCGAGTCTTATCGGATTTGCTGCCGTTCCTAATAGGAATGTGTGCACTTAAAACGAACTTCCCAGCGTGGAGCACTTACAAGGATTAAGTGAACGTGGTAAGCGATAACGAAGATTACAATTTATATAAAGCTTAATTATCGTCAAATATTTCGAACTAGCCTGCATTAGTGCTAACTGGTTATAAATAGCCCGTAATTAACCTTAACTAGCATTAACTGGTCTCAACAAATCTTAGAGTCCCTTGATAAACAGTAGTGCAGAAGGAAAATAGTAAAGAAGTATGAAAAACAATCCTGAACATCGAAACTCGTAGAGATCAGCTCCGCTGGGCCCCACGTATAGGATTTTCTAATTAATGAGATAGAAAACTCGCTTTTGACGATGACGGAATTTGTGACTAGGGATCGGATAAGTACAAGTATAGCAAATACAAGTATTATACTTGTACTTTAGGCGGTAAACCTCCACTGAAGTATAAGAAAATTTTGTGTTGAAAAATACTTGCATGAAAGCACAAGCACACATCCAAAATACATCCATCAAAAACTTGAACTTATACTTTACACTTGAAAAGGTACAACCGCATAAGTATTTGTACCTTCATTTGATCTCCGAAGGAAACTACGTATCGAGCAGCACCTTCGTGACCAGTTGTTTCTTAATTAGTTCATCTCCATTAGTAAATTCTACAAAGATGAACTACTCTTATACCTGAAGTTATGTCTTGTTTTTTGCCAACGTTTGTTGTGCTTTGAGTGACTACCAAATCTGTTTTTGATGTCGACGATATCTGTTGGATCGGGCTTTGTCAGAATTGTGCTCGAGCCTCGGAGATTTTTTGTATCAACACCTTGGTTTTCATGCATATTTCTAGAAAGACGATTCGATTTGGCTTATTAAGGCGCGCCTCATCTACAGTTTGTTTTCCTTCCAGCATATCATTGTTGTCAATCGTCAGATAGTAATCATCAGGGTTTGGATTTGATGTTGCTGCACTTTTACATACGTACTCGATAAGATCATGAGCGGTAGTCTGTTGTCGATAAGGCACATCGAAAGATTCGCCAGTTGGCTTGAAATGAATCAGTAAAGAATTCGTCATATATAATGATCTTAAAATTTAACAAAACTTTCATTTCATAGTACCGACAACCTACACACATATTATTGAGTGTTCGTGTGTCTGTTACTGTGCAAAAGTTAAGCTTCGAAATAACAAAATATTATCAAGAAAGGGTATGGGTATGGGTATGGGTATGGGTGCGGGTGTGTGTAGGTGTAGGTGTGGGTGTGGGCGTGCGTTTGACTGTTGCATGCATTGCATTCACATGCTGAAATAGTTTCGGCCTATACGTGGTAAACGGAACCGCTCGTTCTGTTGGAAGATTGTTTTTTCTTTCCATTCCACTCCACGAGAAGCTGTGTGTGGAAGGCATAGTTTTCCTTTTTCTTAAAGATCCCAAACTATGGTTGCTGTTTTTCTCGTCTTTCAAATGTGTATCTGCTACGGATCATACATATCAAATGTTCGGTCAAGTGAATACAGTGCCAAACTGATGGCGGATTTAGGAGGGGTGCACGGCAATTTGTTCCTACTTCCGAAAAAAATTAAGATTTTTCTTTGCAGGAAAAATTCAGAAATGAGCTGGTTTTATCTCAGATGAGGCTCAAAATATCCTTTGACGGGCGACGATTTAGACACGAAAAATGATGCCCCACCCGATCCGTCCTTCAACGAACTTACCATCTCCTGTAACTTCTCTCGATGTCTGAAAGACGAAGAATTTTCTTCTATGTAGAATGCTGCATACAAAATAAAGTGGTTTTCATATTCAGGTAAAATTAGCTATATACAAGCAGAAATTAACTCTTATACTGCTATATTTTTTATCCGAATATAATATGAGATGAGCTAACTTCGGAGATAATTGAAATCTATCATGTTGTCGCGTCGTTCAATTTGTAGTTGAAAAATATTATAAGAGGCACTACGTACCTACGTTTGACTGAATTCTTTAAACAACTGTACACACATGCAGCAAATAACACGTCAAGGAAATGCTGAATTTGGACACTCATTAGAGGTTGATGTAAATGCACTAGAAAAATTTCGTAAATTTGTGTGGCATATTTGTGTCGATATTCAAGAAGCAATCAAATTCAACAGGTATTCAGCGATGTCTTTTCACCATTACTTTTTTCTGATGTAATTGTGCAAAGTGTCGCAAGAGTATTTTTCGTTCTTTTTCTTTTATTTTTCTGGTGTACCTTTTTTTTTTGATTTTATTTCTCGTTTGTATTTTTTGGTCGTTGTTAGTTACTTTCTGCGTCATGTTTCTTTGCTGTTGTGAGGACGATTGCATAAAAGTGTTTTTTGTTTTGCAAATTCGGAGAGCGTTACGATAAATTCGTTTACCATACAATTAATGTAAGATCTTACAACTTTAAGGGAAAGTGATAAACTCATCGTATATGTCAGAACTGAATATAATGGTAAAACGTTTTTTTCAAAATTCAGCTAAAAGAAGTGAGACTCTCTCACACTAAGACATGAGTTGTTCTTTGATAAATATCTTTGGGTGTTATATTTTGTGGTATTAAACAAACTAGCAGCATGCGTCTTCCTAGGTTCCTACGAACAGAATCTGATCGTAAAGATCCGTTATGAATTAATCGACGCTAAGTTTTTCAAATGTTATATTTTCGCGTGTGACCCATCTGACTGCGTCCCATACAATTTTTTTAGGAAACATATTAAGAAGTAGCTTTTACAGGCTGCTTAACACATGTACTATAGAACTTTTGTATTGTCACTAACGACCATACGTCTTACCTACGAAAAAAATGTTTTGAACGAAACCAGGATCAGGTTTACCAAATCTCCTGATTTTTCTTGATTTCTAATTCTTTGTTGAACCGCTTCCCATAATAGAAGCCCTCTGTAAGATGAACAATGTGCTTGACGAATTAGAAGTCCTCTAATTTTTCAAAAAAACATTTTCACATTTTTAAATTCTTTTTTCCGAATTTTTGGACTAAAACTGCAAAAATTTTCCGAATTTAAGGTAAAAATTTCACTAATTCTAATTTAGCTGTGCTATAATCTGAAAATACCGCCAAAAACCTTCTGAAAAACTCATAACTTTAAAAATCTTTCGAATCGTTTTTGTAGTCAGTTTATGAAAATTTGGGACTTGATAGAACTCCCCCTCTAGAAGTTTCCAGTGGTGGCCGTATTGAGGGTGTGGGTATTGGCTGTGGGTGAGGGACTGGGTATGGGTGTGGGGTATGAGTGGGAATATTCTCCTTATTTTTTAATCACACACTCACCATCACACCTACACCCACGTGATCGACTGACTACAAGATGAGTCCACCGTCTTTGAGAAATATATAGTACGGTCGTGAGGAAACAGTTGTATAGTGAGAAAGCACAAAGTGATGAAAGAACATGAAATGTCTCTCCTTAAAAGATATCGTGAGAGAGTTGAACCTGAAATTTTAGAAGCGCCATCTGATAGTTAGTAGGTCAAGCTTAGCCGTTCTTAAGCGAATGTCGTCAACGAGTGTTACTTGTACATTATATGAGTTTGGTTACAAATATTAGTTGGAAAATGAGATTTACCTTATGATTATATTATAAAAATACAAAGTGCTGTTTTGCACTTTTATAATTCAAGAAAAGAAGTTTGCATCTAGTTTAGATATAAACTGGTAGATCGATGCTCTCAATTCAGTATCAAGAGAAAATAGTTTTCCCCTATACAGTGGGGGTCAAATGAGTCGAAGCTACGAACGTTATTTGTATTTATATAGATTGAAAATGAGATGAAACGAGGTACAGGGTTCAGAATATGCTCGATAGAGACAAATAAATCGTATGATCGAGGGCAGACATGAAAGAAATATTGTAGTATGAATGAGTTATGCACATCCGATAAAGGTGAATCCTGAAACGGAGCTCCCGACTTGGTCCCGATCCTGACGGAACCGGGATCGGGATAATCCTGCCGGAGTCTATCCATGGTCAACCTTCGTATACTAGTCTTGTTGTGTAAGCGCATTATGTTAATGTTATTGTCTTCAATATTCAGAACGATCATTATCGCATAAAAATACGACATGGATCGCTGCTACATATGTGAACGTATAGCCTATCCAACGGAAAAACTTTCATATCAGGATAAGGTAAGCTCATCAACATATACAAAATTAATAATACTAATCAAACAAGAATCACTCACTTCTATTCTGAGGAAATCGAATGTTGAGTAAACCTACTAATTATGTCCCCTCCACTCAAAGAAAGTCAGTTTTCATCAAAAAAGTCTGAATGAAAATAAATATATGGCAGATAACTAAAAAATTTCTCTCTAAGAAACAATTTGACTTTCAATTAAATACACCTTTTTCGGTGAAAATTTTTGATGATTTCCGATGAAAAATATGCCTTTTTCAGACAAAATGGAAAATGTTTTTCGCTTTATCTCAGTTTACTGTTGTGTGATCGTGCATCCTAAAGTTCTCTGTTTTGGCTTATGCTATATGCTTAATATGTTTTGTTTGAAAGAGCCTGCCAATATGTATTGAATAATGTTGTCCTTTTTTAAACTTAGGCTTGTCTTTATTATATATACAAACACTACTATAAATTGGCGCGCATTTTTATAGTTTCTTTAGGTCATTAACTTTTCACCTTTTTTTCACATAAAAACTCAGCTTCAGAAAAAAAACTTCAAGCAATTTGCATGTACCTGACCTAAGATAGGTTTTGGAGTGTGAGAAGAATTTAATAGATCATATTTAATAATAGACATACCATAATGCGTGCTTTAAGTGCACTGAATGTAGCGCAAGACTAAATGTGAAGACAGCTCGTAGTTTCAACAAGCAACCCTTTTGTAGTCAGTAAGTAAAATGCTTGCAATTTTGATCTGTTTTTTCGTTGACTTCATTCACTTCTTATTTAAGACATTCACCAGAAACAAATAAACAACGAGTGAATCCATCAACTGAAAATGCAATTCTGACGACAGATAATGTAAGTTTATCCAACTTTCCGTGAAAAAAATGAAAAAATATTGTAAGAAAGTCAAGTGACTACTACTGCGAGAACTATAATTGATTATTAGTTTCTATTTAACGACAGTTTTCTCCATAAGCCG